ATATTTCGAAGGCATACTGAATATTTTACGGAGGGAACCAACCTAGTCAACACTGTGTTTGTGAGTTTGAACCCCACATGATGCAGGTGCATACTATTCCAACCTTAATTGACTAGGATTGTCAGTTTTCCTGCAAAGGTCGTGGTTCTCTCCAGGCACTCTAACTTAATTCGTACACCAATAAAAACTGACAGCCATGAGATAATGTGAGAGCTTGACATATTGTATAGACTCTTTTTTTTATGATGAGGAGATGAAGACCGTATGTGGTCCTCAGATGTCTTTTGGTCATTTGTGTCTTTGTGTTTCCATATGATTTAGCTAAGTTTTGTATCTAGAAACTCAGTGAAGTCCATCCTCACTAGCCAAGGGTTATGATCCAGTCCCCTCCTCTCCACCCTTGGCAGATTAAGCCAACATTTGTGATTACAATGCTGCGCCATATACCGGCAGCACTTTAACTCTCTTCAGTGTGGAGGTGTAAACATGGATGTGTCTAGTGTTTACCAATTTCGTGAAGCAGGAACCGAAAATATACGTTGACATTCCAACATTTGCGTGAGAAACCTACCAAGGAACTTCAATTAGTAGATTAAGAACTTTATAATTTCACTAAATATGGTCCTATGTTTGGGAGGTAAAACTTGTTGCACAATCAGCACGTGGCAATTGTTTATTTACATTTTCTACATTTACATGTGATCATCTTAAAGGCGCTTTTTGATTGGATGCAGCCAGTTTCAACTGCGACCAATGGAAATCATTACCTCGTGGATCAGAAATTCTATCTTAATCCGCCAAGGGTGGAGAGGAGGGGACTGAATGGTACCCTTGGCTATCGAAGATGCTCAAGTCATTTTGCAAATGTTGTTGTCCACTCCCAACAAATTCCTATCCAAAGTTTTTCATAAAATGATGAACATAACAGATAGAAATGAAAGAAGAATCAATGCAAATATGCTGACACTAATGTGGGCTAGAAGTAAAGATTATTTGGTTCCAATTTTAAGTGGGTTCTACATCTCTGGAAGGAGTAAAATATGCTATAATTTACAAAAGATAGATCTGCTTTATGTGAAAATAAATGTTTTAATAGGATTTCTGAACAATATGCAATTGTAAATCAGTGCAAACATAGGTAAATAATTATGCTGTAGGTAATAATCCATGATATATTGAATTCCAAGTCTGCAACATGTTGTGGGATATCGATTGTATTTTTTATAACAAAAACAAATAAATATCATGAAATATAAGGGGTTTATTTCATGTTGCAAAGGATTTAAATGGTTGTTTCATGTGAAAATGTGTAGATATGTACATGTATGGTATCAAATAGCAATGTTTGCATGTTTTAAGCATGTTACATATTAAACTAATGGAGACAAATCATGGGAAAAATTGCTTTTGGTTATTTATGCATTATTTAAAGATAAAGGGTATAATTATTGGTGATTCAAAATATTCTCCAGTCTCATATCATTTACGAGGGGTGGATTGCACAAAAACAGTACTTTAAAATTGAGATCAAATTGTCCTTAATATAAGAAAAAAGTAGCCTAGGTCTATTGAGAAATCGGTCTTTTGTGTTGGGATTACATAATTGGTGTAATTGAACTAAATTGTTATTATGTAACAAATTATATTTTTGAAGTTATGTGCAGACTCAACAATTTAAAAAAAAAAATTGCAGTACTCAATTGATATTTCAAAATACCAGTCTGGCTTCTAGACATGTATATTTAAAGTATTTAAATTATAGAAGCATTAAGAACCACATAAACTATGAGCCATAAGCTATAAACATTAAAAAAAAAAAAATACATGTAGATAAATATATATGCTAAGTGTTTAGACCGAAGCAATATTTTTTGTACAGATCTACAGTTACCTTAGGAATTTAGATGGGATTGTTTACTATAGGTAAAAATATGTAAAAAAATATTCAACCCATAGAAAAACAGACTAAAACAAAACTTTATAAGTAAATGAATGGATTTTATTTCAAAAGAACCTTTTTTAATCTGCGCGAAGTGTAGGTGTTGCAATACAAAAGCTTAAGTAGGTAAAATTCAGCTGATTCACACCTGTATTGAGATGAATATAATAAACATCTTCATTTGTTACCTATGGGAAATCACTGATTTTAGTAAAGAATTACCTCATTAAATATAGATTGTTTCATTTTGTTATCATGGTTATCACCTTTTGAGGGGGTTGGATTTAAGAAAGATCAAAGACGTGATACATATTTTTATTGATTTATTGGCCTTCTTGTGATGTTGGCCTGTACATTGCTGTATGTATTTGTTCAGTGTTCATATATATGATGTAAAAGGATTATATAGTTGGGTTTGAATCATTTGGAATGTATTATAGGTTCTTGGTGCATGCACATGGTTATTAATAAAGGTAGGATGGAAAATCTAATAACTTTTACATTGATAACTTCATGTTTTGGCTGCATTTGAGTCCAAGATTGCTTTATTGGGACTTATTATTTACATGTGATGACCCCAGCATTTGTCCATAAAAATACTGTCAGACATCATTATAAGCAATCTTGCACTACCTTTCTTTTTATTTATTTATGATATGCAGTTATTGATTTCACTTACATAGATTTGAGGACATCTCTTTTGGAAAAAAAATATTGCAAAGGATTGACAGCTGGGGGGTTATATATGTTTAGTGCATAGTCTTTTTACATTTTTACAAGTCCCACTCCTTACTTTATCTCATCGGTTGAAAGATATCAGAAAAAAATGTATAACAAAAATACTGAACTCCGAGGTAAATTCAAAAAGGGAAATTCAGTCCATAAAAGCTGTCAAAATGAAATGTTATCAACCAATGGCATGAATGGATTGAGCAGAAAACAACTCATATTCCTGACTTGGTACAGGCGTTTTCCTGAAGAAAATAAAAATAAGGAGATGTGGTATGACTGCCAATGAGACAACAATCCACCAAAGTTCAAATGAAGTGGACGTACAGCCAACAATGAGAAAAACCTATACCATATAGTCGGCTATAAAAGGCCCGACATGAAAAATATGAAACAGTTCAATTGAGAAAACTAATGGACTAATTTATAACAAAACAGTTTATAACAAATATGACAGAAATGAAAAAAAGGACAACCACTGAATTTTAACTCCTGACTTGGGACAGGCACATAAAGAATGTGGCAGGGTTAAACATGCTTGAAGACAACCTGGTTTTATTGCTTTCTAAACCTCCCACATGTTTGACAGTTGTTTATAGTTAAGTTATATTGACAAAATTGGGTGAGCAAACCAAACAGACATAATAGGTTAATGTGACAATAATTGGGATCCCACATGCATTTATCATTCTTTTTCATAACTCAGACAATTTTATATGAATAGAAGTTATGTGAAATATGTATGAAATTTAGCCTAAATAATTCTCTAGTTTAAAAAATGTAATGAATAGTACATTGTAACTTAATTACTCCAAAAACTTTTAACAATGATGTAAGGTTGAATCTAGTTGAGCTATGGTATTTTATTTGCAATTTACTGGCCTCTACTGTAACACCTGGTGTCAAATAGATTATTTTCTAATCAATTTCACTCATTTATCAAAGATCAATGTCATTTTCACCTTTATGTAGGTTTGACCTTTTGATCTGTAGTTTTTATCATAAAGAACTAGTCCTTATACTGCTAGATGTATAGGTACTATTTGAAGTTTTTATGTAGTTATCTTTAACAGATTAAAATTTTGAATGATTGGTGTTGAATTTGGCATGCATATTTAATATTTATCAAAATTCTTCAGTCAGCAGTTTCAAATATAAGGAAGTGGTGAAGATAAACTTTTACTTTTAGACACATTAATTTTATTTTTACACTAATTTCCAACATTGTTTTTAAAGACAGAAGGACTGAAAAGAATACTTATATGTTTTAACAATTTGAGTGACAAAAAAAAACATTGAATTGTACTTTTATAAAAAAAATTTATTCAAACATTAAAAAAATTAAAATAAATATGGATTTATAACATTTAGTAGATACACATCATTGATTAAGAAAATTAATTAATTAAAATATAACCATCAGTAGAATATGTTGCTATTGCTATTTCTAACTTTACTGTGCTAATTTGTGAAAGAAGCTGACTGGGACTGACTCAGATATTTTCATAATTGTTCAAATTAGGAAATCCTGAAGTTTTGTTCAGTGTGACTTAGTTAATTTTCTACCTCTTTTGAACACCAACGCAAGAGTATTTACTTTATCTTTATAAATAAAAGTTAGATAACTATGATATCATTTGTTTGATAACAAAGTCTCGTGTCTGTTTGTAAACATCATGGAACAGGAAATATTTCGTCAGATAAAGGGCTTGTTTCCTAATTTAATACTGACACAATTTATGTGGAATGCAGTTTCGCTGAATTTATGAGACATAATTATTTTTAAAAGATTTTTTATAGTTTTTCTGCTCACAAAGTTAAGTGATAGTTTGTGAAAAAAAGAATTTGGACCAAATTATGCTGGATTACTATTTCTTTGTTTTATTTATATGAAACTTGTAATAGGTAAAGTATTTAAAGAATGCATTATCTAAAGTTGTTCAGCAACATCTTCATTTGCAAATTTTTCAATTCATATTTTTTGCATTTATAATTACGTAATATTGTAATGTGTTTTGTCCTTCAGGAAATTTTGCTTTGAGGGCAGATTTTCAGTCTGTTAAATTTTACCATAACATTTAATTCTAGTTTAGGGTGAGTTAGCCTGACTTTTCAACTGTTGGGTGACCATATATTGACTTCTTTTTATTTCTCACATCTTTTCTTGTTGTCCTGCATGGATTTGCAATGATAAATGCAGGTACATTAATTTCTGAATTTACAAAATAGAATACATGTATAAAAACAATATTGACTCATGGGCAATGATAGAATGCTCATGAATATTGTTTATTTTGCTTCAGGTTAAATTCTTGTTGACTTTTTTTCACAGGAACTATATGGTGACATCTTGCTCTAAAAGTTGACAATCATCATGGCAATGACAAAAGTAAAGAGTTTACAACTATGGTGTAAGAAGATGACTGATGGCTACAGAGATGTGGATGTCAAAGACATGACAACTTCTTGGAAAAATGGCCTGGCGTTCTGTGCTCTTATACACAAATTCAGACCAGATTTGATGTAAGCATAGCTTTAGAGCTACTCTTTATTTTGAAATATGCTTATTTAAGAAATGCAATAATAGAACTCAGATTGAGTTTCACTAGCATGACTTTCTGACTTAAAATATGCCATAAAATTTCATACTTTTATTTCACAGAAATTTTATTAGTTAATAGATAAACTCATAATAGATACCAGGATTAAAATTTTGTACACCAGACGTGCATTTTGTCTACAAAAGACTCATCAGTGACACTCGAATCAAAAAAGTTAAAAAAAATAACAATAAAAAAATGTGTATGGAATAAGCTATCTGGACATTTTTTCCCCTAAGTGTATTTTAAATTTCTGGTTTATGCTAATTCAGTTTCAACAGATCTGTCACATATGAAAAATACTGAATTGTACAATAGATTTTACAGTATGATGACACACTTTGGTTGACTATTTTTGCACAAGAATTATAACTTGTGAAAATGAAGTCTTGGATTTAATGTTTACTAAATGTATTGCTATCTAGTGGGATTCACCAAAAGTATGAAACAGTTAATTTTGTAGACAAGAAATGAGATAATTTAAAAATCAACAAACAAATTTAAAACACTAAATTTTTTTAACAAAAAGGTTTATTAATTACTTTAGTTTGGCACATGTATATATATATTGTTCACATTTTTCTTGCTTGTTTGTGTTTTTGGTATGCAGTACAAAGTGCAACAAAGCTTAGGTGAATATTTAGACTTAAATGTCCACAAAGGAAGTACAGTTAGTCTATTGTTTCACCTGTCTCATAAAGATATGAACAACTAATTTCCTGCTTTAAAGTGATAAACAAAGGTTTGAGGTCCTCTAGAGGTTTTCAATGCGTAGTTATGTACATACACAATTTACTGATTGTTTATTTAATGTGATATAAATAAATGTATATTCAGAAGTATTGATTTATGATAATTCCTCTAAAAATATGAAGTATTGACAATTCTGCTTAGTTCTTGGCTCCTTATGTCAAGGACAAGAAGGATATAAACAACATTTCAATTGTTAAAGTCTACATCAGATAAAAGCCATATTTTTTGCTGTAATTATAAGGACATAGGTAACAGAAAGTAGTATTTCAGTTAACTGGTCGACAGTTTAAATTCATTTGTGAAAAAGAAGAGCATTTTACTTCAAAGGCAACTTTCAATAAACAGGCCCATTGGCTTTCTTCTAATAAGTGCATACAGGAGCTCAATTGCACAAATGTATTTTTAAGTTTTTAAGAAGTTTTTAATTAACCTCAGGGCATTTAGAGATCAAGATGGAAAAATGCTGTTTGACCTATGCCTAGCTGAACCTGTGAAATATTTGAGTCTTGTTGTACAATTATTCCCCTGCATTGGAGAGGGGTGTTTATAAAGTGATGTATATATAAATAAGAAGATGTGGTATGAGTTCCAATGACACATTACTATCCATCCAAGTCACAATGTGTAAAAAGCAAACAATTATAGGTCAAAGTACAGCCTTCAACACATAGCCTTGGCTCACTCCGAACAGGAAGCTACATGCCCTTTAGTCTGTCCATTTGTTGTCCCTAATTTGCTGTCTATCACAAGTTTGCTTTCCAGATAATAATTAAAGTACCCTTAAACCAAGTCCTTTGAAATTGAACACAAAACAGGTTAATTTTGATTTTGATTTTTACCATTCAAGAGTTATTATTATACCCCACGCAACTAGTTGCGGAGGGTATAATGTTTTTGACCCGTCTGTCAGTCCGTCAGTCCGTCAGTCCTATTTCTTGTCATCGCAACTCCTCTCAAACCACACAACAGAATTTCACGAAACCTTTTTAGATAATAAGGACATACTATGTAGTTGTGCATATCGACAGGAAATTACGATTCAATTTTTTTTTTAGGAGTTACGCCCCTTTGAACTTATTTACTTTAATGTACTACTGCAACAGTTTGTCATCGCAACTCCTCTAAAACCACACAACAGAATTTTATGAAACCTTTTCAGATAATAAGGACATACAACGTAGATGTGCATATCGACAGGAAATTACTTTTCAATTTTTTTTCCAGGAGTTATGCCCCTTTGAACTTATTTGCCCAATATACTACTGCAACCTTTTGTCATCACAACTCCTCTCAAACCACACAACAGAATTTCATGAAAACTGTGTAGATAATAAGGACATACTATGTAGATGTGCATATTGACAGGAAATTATGATTCAATTTTTTTTTCTGATACAATTTTTTTTTCTTACACTTATTTTATTTCTCCAATGACAATGTGGGGACGTGGGGTATGTGAGCGTGCTCACTAAGGTTCTTTAATTCCCCTTATTTACCTTTATTTAAATTTTTGTGGTTTCCAGGTGATTTTTAAAGTACTGTATTTAACATTTGCCAAACTTTTTACACTTTATCACAATTTGATGAAAAATGAAATACAAGTCACATTCAACATGTTCAATTTAAATTTCAGTTTTGGCAATTACAGTTTAATATTTGTTTCATCATTCATGGAATCCATGATTACTTATAGTTCACCTAATTCTAGTTTTTTTTCGACCTATATGTACCTTAAGAAGTGCTCCACCCAGTAAGATACAGTTACCTATAACCAGGATACTTGTAACTCAATTGAACAGTCTACATCAGATAAAGGTATATAATCCCTCTGTTGTCAGGTTTCTTACTTTATAAATTATGCACCATAAATTAATCAACAACCGAACCAGATACCAATCTGTTGCCACCTTGGGAATTACTTAGGCATGATTTTAAAAAAAGCTGTTATGTAAGATAAAATGTAACCTTGGTCTTATTTTGTTTTTTTGATAGAGAATAAAATCAATTTTGGTGAGGTCCAAAATTTTTTTTATAGCATAGTTAAACTAGTTGCTTTCATCATCCAAATTCAAAGTCAAAAATGATTTCCCCCTATGGTATCTTAAAGGCATATGCTTTGACTAACAACTTTCAACCATAAAATGAAGGTCAAGTTTGATTTTCACTGTAATTGACTGGTGGATGTAAATATTCAAGAGATGAAATGGTAAAGGCATATAATTTTCTGAAGGATTAATTCATTTGCTTATTTTACAATGGAGTAAGAAAAAGTTATAAAGGTTTACCAAATTGCACCTTTATAAGTTTCCAAAATTTCTTTCGAATTTTGAGATTCAGGGAAACAGTATCTGTAGAAAGCACTTAATATTCCCATGTTTAGGTCCTAATCTTTTGTTAAATTTTTAAGAGCTGAAGATTGATACAAATGTTAAATCCAAATTTGAACATGAAGAAAGATATAATGTTTTCCGGTAAAAGATATCCCAACAGAAAACATTTGTCTTTACTGATCACATTTGATTTTTTTTAACGTCATTAGGTTAACTGGTTTGCAAAATTGAGCTCTTTAAAGTGTTCCAAACTTACAATGGCTCTCTTGAATATTATGATAGTACAGATTGACATTATCTGCAGGAAGCACTCAATGATCAAATAAAATAAGCCTAGCTGTCTGATATAAAATGCCTATCATCTATCAAATAAATTCATAAACTTTAATTTTCAATCTGTCTGATAATTTTGACAACTTTGACATTTAGTAGTTAACATTTTGTCATATGACTTGTTGACATTTTTGTCAATTTGTTGACATAGACTAGATATATATACTCCTATATCATCTGTAAACAGAAGCTTACAGTCGGGTTCCTCTTATAAGTACTCCAAAATGACAAGTACATGCACAGCAAAATTTAAACAAATATATTTAAGATATTTTGGTTGTTTAAGTATAGGAAAAATAATGCAATAGCTCAGAATTACAGAAAAGTTGTTTCTGTTTTGCTTGAAAGAGAACGAGTTTGACTTAGCAAAGCAATAAAGTTTTCCCACCATTATCCTGGTCAATCCCCTTTTTATACCCCTGATAAAATTAAATAGTCTATAAAGTTTAGGCCAATAAGTCTGTCAGTCATTTTCTTTTCAGATGCTTTTTTAGATAATTTATTTCAGACTGCAACCTTGGATATATGGTCACATGTTATGAAAAGAAGTTCCCAATTGATTTTTAGTGCACTTTGTCAAAGGTCAAGGCTGTAGTTACTAAAAATAGACTGAAATTTGTGCAGAAAAGTGGTTTTCTGGATGGTTAATCAAGAACTACATATTGGATTGTTACCTTACTTGTATATATGGTCACATAATTGGAGAATGATCCCCATTGATTTTGAGGTCACTGTGTCCAAGGTCAATGTCACAGTTACTAATTATATATATATATAGATAGATAATTGTGTTGAAAAGAAATTCCAGGATGCTTTAATCAAATTCTACATACAGTATATCAACCTTTAATGGATATATTGTAGACACATATATATAATTATATATATATAATAAAACTTGAATTTGAACAAGGTGAACCTACTCCTGAAGTGGTAATCATGCGGATGGGTAAAAGTGGGTGGATACCGAAAGGTATTCACAGTTGTCTTTCACCATATAAGTAAAATAAACGACAATAAAGACAACAACACCCATCAATTACCGCATGGTTGGAGTTTATTCTGGTCGACATGTTTCGCCAACAAGCGTGGCGTCTTCAGGACAATATTACATATGAAATCAAACAGTGAAGTACAAATTTTGCGGTTGTGTGGTTCGCCGAAAGTAACGTAACAATAGAGGTTGTTATGACAACGTTATAGATATAAATAGAAAGTGAAAGTAAAATAAAAAAAGAATCTAGTTAAGTTAAAAGTGAAAGTTAGTCAATAAAGTCATTAAAGATGTGGTTAGCTGCTATTCTTACACGTCTGTGTAGTTGTTCTCATGGAGGTTTCTAGTGGTAATATTGTAGAAATGATGAAAGTAGATCATAAAATGTCAGTTCATTTCCAAATTGGACAACACCCCACTGGCCATCCCTTACCAATTCAACTGGCTTTGCTCCGAGGGAGGTACTGCTTCCAATTGCGTAGGTAATAGGGTGAAGTGTATGATCGCCGCAATTTTGGGAATTGTAAATCTTGGTAGATTCGTTCATAAAAAATTTACTTTGCTAATAAAGTGTCCGTGGATCAAGCTTTTCTTTATAAATATGTTTTGTGGTTTATGTGGTTCATTTCGTTTCTGGTTCCTTCCTTTTTTCTCTAAGTAAAATGCCTGGTATTCCTAATTATTTTGACTCTGTGTACTTATGTATGGTATGTTAATCTTCAGTGATGGACTGCTTCTTATTTGTATGTTTCTGTGGTTGCTTCTGTTTCCAAATCTCTCCTTTTTTCCTCGTATCTGGTAATTTTCGGGAACGGATCAATAACGTTTTAAACGGTCCGGTTTTTCGTCCATGCTGGGTGGTTGTTAGGTACAACGCTAGTGTGGCAAAGGTGGATCCTTTCAAATGCAGGCGTTCACAGTAAAAAAGTAAACTTGAATTTGAACAAGGTGAACCAACACCTGAAGTGGTAATCGTGCGGTTGGGTAATAGTGGGTGGATACCGAAAGGTATTCACAGTTGTCTTTCACTATATAAGTAAAATAAACGACAATAAAGACAACAACACCCATCAATTACCGCATGGTAGGAGTTTATTCTGGTCAACATGTTTCGCCAACAAGCGTGGTGTCTTCAGGACAATATTACATATGAAATCAAACAGTGAAGTACAAATTTTGCGGTTGTGTGGTTCACCGAAAGTAACGTAACAATAGAGGTTGTTATGATGACGTTATAGATATAAATAGAAAGTGAAAGTAAAATAAAATAAGAATCTAGTTAAGTTAAAAGTGAAAGTTAGTCAATAAAGTCATTAACGATGTGGTTAGCTGCTTTTCTTTTATAAATATGTGATATATAACAATTAACATACCATACATAAGTACACAGAGTCAAAATAATTTGGAATACCAGGCATTTTACTTAGAGAAAAAAGGAAAGAACCAGAAACGAAATGAACCACATAAACCACAAAACATATTTATAAAGAAAAGCTTGATCCACGGACACTTTATTAGCAAAGTAAATTTTTATGAACGAATCTACCAGGATTTACAATTCCCAAAATTGCACTTCACCCTATTACCTACGCAATTGGAAGCAGTACCTCCCTCGGAGCAAAGCCAGTTGAATTGGTAAGGGATGGCCAGTGGGGTGTTGTCCAATTTGGAAATGAACTGACATTTTATGATCTACTTTCATCATTTCTACAATATTACCACTAGAAACCTCCATGAGAACAACTACACAGACGTGTAAGAATAGCAGCTAACCACATCTTTAATGACTTTATTGACTAACTTTCACTTTTAACTTAACTAGATTCTTATTTTATTTTACTATCACTTTCTATTTATATCTATAACGTCGTCATAACAACCTCTATTGTTACGTTACTTTCGGCGAACCACACAACTGCAAAATTTGTAATTCACTGTTTGATTTCATATGTAATATTGTCCTGAAGACACCACGCTTTTTGGCGAAACATGTTGACCAGAATAAACTCCTACCATGCGGTAATTGATGGGTGTTGTTGTCTTTATTGTCGTTTATTTTACTTATATAGTGAAAGACAACTGTGAATACCTTTCGGTATCCACCCACTATTACCCAACCGCACGATTACCACTTCAGGTGATGGTTCACCTTGTTCAAATTCAAGTTTACTTTTTTACTGTGAACCCCTGCATCCGAAAGGATCCACCTTTGCCACACTAGCGTTGTACCTAACAACCACCCAGCATGGACGAAAAACCGGACCGTTTAAAACGTTCTTGATCCGTTCCCGAAAATTACCAGATACAAGGAAAAAGGAGAGATTTGGAAACAGAAGTAACCACAGAAACATACAAATAAGAAGCAGTCCATCACTGAAGATTAACATACCATACATAAGTACACAGAGTCAAAATAATTCAGAATACCAGGCATTTTACTTAGAGAAAAAAGGAAGGAACCAGAAACGAAATGAACCACATAAACCACAAAACATATTTATAAAGAAAAGCTTGATCCACGGACACTTTATTAGCAAAGTAAATTTTTATGAACGAATCTACCAGGATTTACAATTCCCAAAATTGCACTTCACCCTATTACCTACGCAATTGGAAGCAGTACCTCCCTCGGAGCAAAGCCAGTTGAATTGGTAAGGGATGGCCAGTGGGGTGTTGTCCAATTTGGAAATGAACTGACATTTTATGATCTACTTTCATCATTTCTACAATATTACCACTAGAAACCTCCATGAGAACAACTACACAGACGTGTAAGAATAGCAGCTAACCACATCTTTAATGACTTTATTGACTAACTTTCACTTTTAACTTAACTAGATTCTTATTTTATTTTACTTTCACTTTCTATTTATATCTATAACGTCGTCATAACAACCTCTATTGTTACGTTACTTTCGGCGAACCACACAACCGCAAAATTTGTACTTCACTGTTTGATTTCATATGTAATATTGTCCTGAAGACACCACGCTTTTTGGCGAAACATGTCGACCAGAATAAACTCCTACCATGCGGTAATTGATGGGTGTTGTTGTCTTTATTGTCGTTTGTTTTACTTATATAGTGAAAGACAACTGTGAATACCTTTCGGTATCCACCCACTATTACCCAACCGCACGATTACCACTTCAGGTGTTGGTTCACCTTGTTCAAATTCAAGTTTACTTTTTTACTGTGAACGCCTGCATTTGAAAGGATCCACCTTTGCCACACTAGCGTTGTACCTAACAACCACCCAGCATGGACGAAAAATTGTCGTTTATATATAATAGAAGGAAGATCCCTATTGATTTTGTAGTCACTTGGTCTAAGTTCAAGGTCATAAATGCTAAAAAAAAACAGATTGTGTAAGACAGCTTTTATATTACTATCTAAAGTCATAGAAATTAATAATGATTCCTTAAGTAAACATAAAAAAACAACACCATCACTGTAAACTTTCCCCTTTTAAGGAGGGTGTAGGCTTGCTTTCATAAGGTTCTTTAATAAGAGTCTGCTTTGTTTACTTTCTCTTTGAATGGATCTTATTCTGAATATGCATTAAATACATTCAGCTGTCTTTAGACAATGTTATCAGACAATTAAGCTAAAACAGAAATAGACACCCTTGTGTACCTTTTAAACAAGATATAGGGCATTTTAGTTTGGGTTAGACATTTTGCCTTCCAAAAGACCACCTGCAGTTCCCTCCAAAGAGATGTTGTAAGGCCTCTTAACATGATGACAGGATTGCAATCTTCCAAAACAGAGAATATTTCAGATATTCAAAATAAGAGATGTTCCCATTTCAACTAGATGTGTCTCTTATAGCCATATATGAGAAGAAAAAACAGAAATTTACTCAAATTCAATCTCTTTGCTTTTTCTTTATGTTTTCCACAGTAAAGCCTGTTGATGTTTTACCTGTAATTCTAATACTTTTGTTGTTTTTTCAGAGACTATGACTCGTTATCCAAGGAAAATGTATTTGAAAACAACCAATTGGTAAGTAATGGAAATATGGTAAAGTCCAGTAATTTCATTGGTACATGAGCAAATTATTTACTTGCAAACAGGAATCATACCAGGTTCTTCTATTCAACATATACATCATTAAAGTAAGAAAGTCATGAAAAATAAAGGGTTCCAGTACGATACCCCCTTAGGTCACAAGGTCATGTTTAAAAATCGACTCCGTTCACCAGATCGCTTTTAAGCAAATTTAAGAAAGTTTGTTCTGAACATTTTTAAAGGTCACAGGTCCCTTTAAATGAGATGTCAGACCAAGGTTCCAGGTCATATTTGGTCATGTTGGAGTCCCATAAATTTCCACAAAGTCAACTAGAAAGGGGTGAAACACGACAAAAAAGGATCTGTGAAAATATGTTAATATACAGTTAGTTCATTCCTTTTGTTGTCATAACATTAAATAACTTGACTTGTATGATAAAGACAATAGACACAAGGGAAAAGTTTGATCTTTTATAGAAAGATGAGATAGGTTATCTGCAGTTATTACATTCTGTAAAATAATCTTTACCTTGCATACCCAGACTATTACAGAAACACTTTGACTCTTTATGATTAGTTAAAAAAAACATTGACATATTAATATAGATCATTTGGTTCAACATCAAAATTTAGTGAGTAAAAAATAACAAATTAAATTCAAATATATTTCAAATTCCTTTCCTGAAAAAAAAACCCAACAAAATGTTAAAATAGCAGAAAGAAAGGTTATTAACATGAAAACACATTAACCATGGTAGTTGGTCATTCTTTTTCTCAAGAGAGGACTTAAAAATGTCATCACTAGGTGCCTATGGGTTCTTGACTTACTCCAGTTATTTAAGAAATGACAAGTGCATCTCGTTTCCTGGTATGACTAAGACTAAAGTTGCCAAAAGTTGGTTGTTAAAGTTAAACATCTTGGCTTCCTCTGACCTTAATAGAAACTGACATTTACATAGAAATGTATGAATGAATGTATATCATATCCTAGATGCAGATACATTTGTATGTGAGAAATATAAAGCAATGTTGATAAATCTGTTACATTCTCAATTTTCATATGTTGTGGTCAAAAATGCAATTTCCGTATGCATTTCGTAAAAAAAAAACATGACAATTAGACATGAAATATGTGAATGGGAAAAAAGTCAGATGGTTGAATCATTAGTTTCTTAATATGTTCCAATTTTCATTTCACTTGAAATGATTATTTGTAAAGTGCATATTTGACATGTGCAGGTCTTATTGTTAATTTGCTTTGATTTTTATGAATGGAATAATTGTATTCAGATTGCAAGAATAGTGTCTCGAGTAAAAAAGAGATTACCTTTTTGCTATAATATGATTTATATCACTGATAATTATAGCAGCATATATCAAATTAAAGATACTGAGTGATAGAATGAATGATTTATTTTTCAGGCTTTTGAAGTGGCTGAAAGAGAGCTAAATATCCCAGCATTCCTTGATGCCCCAGACATGGTAGCCATTAAAGTTCCTGACAGACTCAGTGTTGTCACCTATGTATCTCAGTACTATAACAACTTACATGATAAACCTCAGTGTAAGTTCAAAGGTCATGCTGCTATAAGTCACATGTTATTTCAGATTTAAGTGGTAAAAAGTAATGTGAATGTGATGTTTTCACTTTGGTATTGCACATGCAGAATTTCTAATAAAGAGGCAAAGATTTTGTCAAGGGATATGTTTATTTATTTGTCAGTTTTGCTGAAATAACAGAAATTTTCTCTTTCATTTACTTAGTCTTAAATATTTGATAGGTCATGTAACTTAGTACTCTTTATCACATACCATTATGGCATGGTTGCCTCTAATCACACCCTTCTTTCAGAACCTCATTGATGTATATTTCAAAAATATGATCTGTACTTGTCAAAATCTATATCACCTGATGTAATAACTCTCAACCAATATCAGCTGTTCGTATCTTTTTGTCCTTCTAGTTGATACTGATTTGATGGAATGATATAACATGCTGCTGTTTCATTTATTTTCATTAGTACCAAATTTCGAGAATTGAGAAAAAATTGAATATTCGTGGATAACTGATTTCATGGTTTTGCCAAAATCTGAATACAAGCTTAACTGAATTCATGGTTTTACTATGCCCACAATATTTATGAAAATTGATATATACCATTATTAATGAATCCACAGTATCATATTGTCATTTATAATTCTGTCTCAGTGTGACAAATGTCAAAAGGAAGGAATATGCAAGCCACAAATGATGTTTTTAACATATATATAAAAATAAAACAGACATAGAAAACTGAATAATTTAATATTCTAACATGTAATAAGACACATATTAGAAAAATGTGCTTGCATCATTCTAAAGTTTAAATATATAATTTTCTAACTGACAAATAATTATGACATAGACTTTAGTAATAGTGCAAACTCGGTTCAAATTACAACTTTAATTTATTTTTATATTATTGCGAAAGAAATGATACTTTTCCACAGATTCACTTGATAGTTACCTGTCGATTTAAACTTTTGTAAGTTCTCTTGTCCCATCTAATGAATACAATAGCTATTGTTCTCTGTGGAGTTTATTCAATGGGTCCTTTAAATTTCTTCTAAGAGAAATCTATCACTCATTGATTAATTTACCTGAGTAAAAAAATTATCTTCTAAAAGATAAAAATACATGTTTTACATTAAAAAAACTGCATGTGATTTTGTATTTATTCAATATCAATAATATATTTTCCATCTGTTGAATGTAAACAGTGAATCAAACATTAATAAAAGTTGATTTCTGACAAAATTTTCAACATTGTTCCTATTTAGATTTGTTTTTCTTGTGTGTTTGACAAATAAAAACTTGAAAATGAGGATGTTTATATTAAAAGGCCTTCTTAAAAGTATTCTATAACTAAACAAAAACAAAAAATATGCAAATTTCAATAGGAACAATGCTAAAATTTTGTCAAAAATCAACTTTTTATGATTAAATTAGTGTTTATTTTGAACAGATTGAAAAAAATATTATTGATATTGAATAAAAACAACTTATCGACATGTAATCCTGATGATCCGGGCATGTAAGCATGCCAAAGTATGCTGACAAAATAAAAGTACCTTATAATCCTGCAAAGTGTTGTACGTTGTTTAATAAAGATTTTTTATTTTGATTGGTGAAAACGACCCTGCATACCATAGATATCAACTTCTAGGATAGTGACTCGGTTCAAATATGGAGTTTTGGTTCAATAAAATCTTATATCATTGAAAATAATTTATGATAATGCTTTCTCATATGAATTTCCACTTAAATTTAAAAAAGGATAGTTTCTACAGTCAAAAGTGTTTCACCATTTGAAAATTTCACTTTATATTTCATATCAAAACACATTATCAACAAATGATTAATAACAATTCTCCTTAAGTTATTTCTTGTCAAAATTTAATGAAATTTTTACCGTTAAATTCAGAAATACCTACAGTTTCTTGCAATGATTATGTAATATATTTGTAATTTTTTCTTTTATTAGGTAATCACTATTTAAATACAAATATGAATTTCTTTACGAAAAAAAAAATGTATGTCTATATCGGATAATGACACCTATTTCAATATTTGTGTATAAAGAATGAGTCCTCAGTAATGACATTTCATAAAAAATATTTCCTTATAAACATGAAAAACTGCACACATTTATGAGCTTAACAGTAAAATTTAATAAAAATCTAGCCTGGAGTAAGTTTGTGACAATGTCTGTTTTTATATGAAATATATAGGGAAATGTACGAGTGGTGAAACACTTTTGACCTATGTATGTTGACACAAGTCATGAAAACAGAGATGGCTACCGTAATACAAATAATTTTTTCTCAAAGATACAACTTCCCTTTACTTTTTTGTAGTGGGAGGTCCAGGTGTGAAGAAAACTGTAGCTACAAAACGACACCAACCAGACCCAGAGCTTGGTGGACCAGAGGCCAAGAAACTTACACCCAGTCATCAAAATGCTAAAACGCCTGTAAGATTTCCTTGGTGCTTGGAGCTTTGTTACAAAATATACTCTTTTTTACACCCCAAAAAGAAGTTACTAAGTATTTTTTTTCTAGATTTATTTGAATAAACTGAGCTGCCACATGAGTGAAAAATCAATACAAATAAATCTTTGATCAAATATTTTATTATATACAAACATCAGTGGAAGTTTTTTTAATAATAAATGTCAGGTTTTGAATTGAAAAGTTAATACTGTAGGAAAAACATGTACACAAACAACGGATATAGATATAAAATATAAGACAGACACAGATAAGTATAAGAATAAAATACAGACACTTAAAGCAATAAGAACAAATTAAAAAGGCAAAAAAGTATATTAGAAGGGGATACTGAAACACAGTTGGAATTAAAACAGACCAATTAGAACAATCAAATAAAAAAAAATATAAGATGTAACATCATACAAAAAGAAGTTGATAAACAAAATACGCTGATCATGAAAACTGAAGCTTGCACAATGTGAACTTTCATAAAAAATAAGAAAAAAGCATAGTATTTTTTCTTTAAAATGACTGGGCCAACACTTTCACACAATCTTGAAATATAAGGTACTTTGGTGTGTCATTTCTGCTATTTTGATTGATGCAAAAAATTGCTTTAGTTTCTAACTGGAATATTATCCATTTATAAGTAATAGTCATAAAAAAGATTCAAAAAGCAATTTGTTAAATCCAGTTTTAAAGTTAACTTGATAGTAAGGAGATGTGATTTGATTGCCAGTGAGACAACTATCCATAGACCTAAGTACAAAGATGTGAACAATAACAGGTCACCATACAGCATAACAATAACAGGTCACCGTACAGCATAACAATAACAGGTCACCATACAGCATAACAATAACAGGTCACCGTACAGCATAACAATTACAGGTCACCATACAGCATAACAATAACAGGTCACCTTACAGCATAACACAGGACACCATACAGCATAACAATAACAGGTCACCATACAGCATAACAATAACAGGTCACCGTACAGCATAACAATAACAGGTCACCATACAGCATTACAATAACAGGACACCGTACAGCATAACAATAACAGGTCACCGTACAGCATAACAATAACAGGTCACCGTACAGCATAACAATAACAGGTCACCATACAGCATTACAATAACAGGACACCGTACAGCATAACAATAACAGGACACCGTACAGCATAACAATAACAGGTCACCGTACAGCATAACAATAACAGGTCACCGTACAGCATAACAATAACAGGACACCGTACAGCATAACAATAACAGGTCACCGTACAGCATAAAAACTTGTCCTTTTCTTGAGCAAATTACAAGCAAAACCTGATACAATATGTTTTGATATTTATTTAAACAGTATATTTCTTGTTCCCGAAATGGTATTGGTATAGAAATAAGGTTAAAGGTTAAATAATTAAATCAATATATTAATGATTTTATTTCAGTCAAAAGACCGACAATCAATGGGAGACAAGTGCCACATCTGTGGAGATAAAGTTTATTTAATGGAACGCCATGTTGACAAAAATAAACTTTTCCATCGGCATTGTTTTAGACATAGTGATCTTTCACCTACCAGCAAAGTTTTCAATAAATCTGAACTGAAAAAGATAAGTGACAAAGTGAAAAGTGAAAACGAAACAAAGAAACTGAGTGACAAAGTTAAAAGTGAAAATGACACAAATAAGGCTGCAAAATCTGACAATAAACAACCTAATTTTTGGGAACGACGAAATGAAGCTAGGAAAATTTTGAAAATGGACACTGAAGAGTCTGTCCCATCCAAGGGGACAGCCAATCAGGATAAAAACAGTTCTAAGTCAACTAACAAAGATATTAGTAAACCAGATATAATAGTGACCAGTGATAACAATATTTCAAAGGATGCTGCTAAAAGTAAGAAAGAAAGACCGTCAGATTTGAATCTAGAGACAAAAGTAGACACTAAAAAATCAAGTCCTTTACCATCACCAAGGAAACCAAAAACTAGCAATGTTGAACCAATGGACACAAGTGAAATAAGTGATGTCAAGTTAAAACCGGTGCCAACTCCTAGAATTGTGCGAGATGAAAAGAAGACATCACCATTAAATGGAATTTTATCTAAAAAGAGAGAAAAGTCTCCTGGCAAAAGTCCCTTTCTGTCTCCTAATCAGGGACTGAAATTATCGTCAAGTAGTGACATGTCCCCATTATCCCCACCCCCATTACCATCACAGCCACCCCCTCCACAACTGACCAAATCTAATTTATTATCACCTGAATCAGACGCTGTAGGTACAAGTGCTAAAGTGACAGCTAATTTTGGAGAAAAATCAAAACCCTTGACATCTCATGGGAGAAAATCTCCACAGACTAGTGCTAAAAATGAAGTAAGCTCTTCAAGATCTTCAAATTCTCCTGATAGAGGAAGTAGTGTGTTTATTTCCCCAAGGACAAAAGAGTTCTCTCCCACATTTTCAGATTCCAGTGCATCATCAGACAGTTCAAAATTTAGTTCTAGTTCAAAGGAGAATAAAACTTCTCCCAAAACTACAAATCAAAGATCATCTAACTTTTCTCCACCTTTATCCAAACCGAAATTTGGTGACAAACGACAGATGAGTGTGGAGGAAGCCATTGATTTAACAAAAAATGACACAAATAGAAATGAAATGGTAGCAGTTGTGTTCACCCCTAGTCCAAAAGAAGAAAATGACAAACAAGTTCTTGGTGGATTGTTGTCAAATCTTGCCAACATCCGACGAAAGCAGAAACCAAGTGATACTAGTCCAAGTGAAGATTTGTTAAATCAACGAAACACAACTGGGGCTTTGGATATTCAAAGTAGAGACCAAAAAGGCCAAGTGAAAAGTGCAATATTTACAAAGCCTCTCAGTGAGAGTGATCAAAATAAACACTCTGTTAACAAAGAATCTCATCTCAAAAATATTTCAAAAACTGATACTGATATCCCTGAATGGAAACGTCAGCTAGAAAAGAATAAAAATTTACGACCAAAATCCGCAGACATATTATCTGATAAAAAGACATCTGAAACATCAAAGACACAACTTGAGAAGGATGCACATTTAAGACCTAAAACAGAAATGTCTAAGGTGTCTCCTAGACCAAAAACTGTGGACGTACTATCGGATAAGTTTAAAACAGATCAGAAACCACAGTGGCAAATAGAAGCTGAAAAACGAATGGAGGCAAGAAAAGGTGGTTATGTTGATCCTGAAAAAGTAAGGCCACAAATAGATGTTGGCAAAGATCAACTGAGGCCAAAAGAAGAAACAAAACTTCCAAATGATAGAAGTAGTACTCCTTTAAAACCGAGTAGGGTTGACATAAAAATCACAGACGATAAACGGGAAAGTGCAAATGTTCAGAAAAGAATTTTACCGACTATTCCAAGTCTTACTGAAAAGGGAGATAATAAAGATGATATTCAGGATAAAAAGAAAATTTCTGTGAATGTTAAATTTAATTTCTCACAAGGTAAAAAGGAGGAAGAAAAAGAAGAAAAATTTAAGCCACCTAGACCACCAACATATATCCACAATAGTCCAAACGCAGGTTCACCAAACAAACCAACTAGACCACCTCCACCATTAAAAGATGTAAGTTTATTCAGTAGCCTCACTTTCATTTTTTGTATATTCTTTGTTTTAAATTTTGGGATATTTGAATTTTAATAGAGAAAAAAGAAAAATATTACTCACAAAAGAAGAACTTCTGTTTTAGATAACATACACACATTTACCATGTATTGTTTCAAAAAGGATGAGTGCTGTATGCATTAAAAAAGTGATATGATAATTATCTAAATTTTCTTCATTAGTAATTATTTGTCCAAACCATTGAATGCTCATGCTAGGAATCAAGTAAAAATAACTAAAGCATGGCTGGAGGTTCTTTTATTAAACTGGTATGTTTTCAAAATCTTTCAATATAATCATGACAATATTTAATGATAGGGAGACCAAAGGAGATTATCACCATCAGAGATCCAGAAACAATTAACACAGATAGATTCTAGACTTACAGAACTGGAGATCAGAGGACGACAACTTGAAGATTCTATCAGAAAAGGTTAATTTTTTTAGTGATTTTCCTTTTATTGATTATTAGAAAAATAGAAAAATAGAACTTTGGGTGATTTTTAATTTAATTTTTGATGATCAATATTAGAAAGTAAGAAATATCTACAATATATTTTTTTAAGAAAACCTTCTGACACTACCCTTTAGATGTTAGGAATGCTTTTAAATACCTGCTACATATCCATTTGTACATAGAAACACTTTTTTTGGTGTACAGTACATTTATGCATCTGGATGTTCGGGTTACTCTACTGTAATACTTTATACATGTATATATATGTATATATATGTATATATATATTTATGAATATATATGACATGCACTATATATAACACATGGAAAATTGTGTCACTAAATTCCTATATTTTATATCAATCAAAAAAAGAATATAATCCAAAATTAAATGTGAACATGCAGGTCAATTAATCAATTATATTTTTTCAGCCAATGACCTACACAATTTTTATTCACATTTCTTCAGTTAATACATTTGTAATAGCTTTTTGATGTATTTAGAATCATAGTTGATTTTCTATGTTTTATGCCTTGCAGCAAACTAATTTTACCATGTAGTGGTTTTAGGATCTTTTATACCAAAAAAAAAAATCATGAAAGAACAATTTCAGATTTGACAGAAACGATCCTGACAGCTTTTTATATATGTCTTTATTCTGTCAAACCTTTGCAATTACAATGGTATACAGACAGTAAAAGTAAAAATTTGTCATTCTGAAAATACCCAAATACTATTGTAAGGGACATAACTCTACTTTTTATCTAGAAGTGTTTGTTATTTGTCAATGTAGGACTATGTCTCAAAATGTCATTGGATTTTTGGTACGAGTGAATATTTGAATTTGTATCTTCTGGAAATTCACTAATGCTCTTATCATTGCACATATTCATTTAACATAGGCTATAGTAAGTTTGGCAAGAACATAAGCTTTTATATACATGTAGCCAAGATATTATTCATGTGTGATCGGCTATTTGATGCTTAATACTTCAATTCATTAAAAACCATATTCTTTGCTAGATCATTTTAAATTTAAGATACAATTTGAAAATAAAGAACTATAATTTATATCAGAATAGAAAATGACATATTTCTAGTCAGTTGTTTGAAAATCAGCGGCAGACATTTCATGAAAATAGAACTTGAAAAAGTCTTGTTATTTGTCTCAAAAGAATGTTGGTGCTATTTTTTCTTTTTAAATTATACACAGTAATTACAAGTAGGCATATTTGTTTGGGACTATTCCAGAAATATTCAAGCGATTGGAATTTAATGACCTTAACACATTAGAAAAGAATCTCCCACTTTAATGTGATAGGTAAAATGGGATAAAATGTCCTGCAAATTTTCGAAAAAAAAATAATACTTTTTGTTGACCATATTTGTCTTGTAGTAAAACAAACCTTTGGATGTCAGGATTGCCCAAAGAAAGACCTCCCTATGACCATATTATCCGGACACCCCTCTATGTGTTATGCAACAAGAAAAATCATAAACTATGCATTATCTATAACAACCCTTTTGATCATTGATTATTTAACTTCAAAAACTAAGATTTTTTTCCCTATGGAAACACCCCCATATCCACTATGATTATGCCATTTAGAAATTCAGAATAATCTTTTCAGAGAGAATTATATAGAAGGTGAGTGGTGTTGGGAGGGGAAAGTATGCTATTGGATACAATAGGTGGAAAATAAAGTTTGGAACAAGAAAATTAAGGAGATGAATGAAAGTCATGGACTTGGGCATGTTGGGTAAAATGAATATGGATGGACATTAGAATATTATCCTTAGAAGTCACTTTTTAGGAAGTTTAAGCATAAGTGAAATATGATTATTCTTAGATTATTATTTATGCCAAGCATTTGCCCTCACTCATGTTTTTAAGTTTACTTTTCACATTTTCAATATGGAAACTGTTAATTCAGAGTCAAAACTAGTAAAAAAATTTTTTTTTAAAAAAAGTGAATATTCTGAATATATGAGAATATTTTCTTCAAGACTAAGGGTAACAAAAACTAAATTTCTGGAATAGTCCTATCACCAGTAGATTAGTACATGAGATTATTAGTAAACTTTTTCTCTGTAGTGGTACATAGGTAAGGTATATAGATCATTATCATAACTAACAAAATTCACATTGCAAAATACAGCATTAGTAGTCAGACCAAAATCTTTTATATTTTGACGGAAAATTTTAATGCAACAAAGATAGTTTTGTAGCATAATCATGTTGTAATATTTTAAAGAAAGATACCCTTTTTAGGTGCCATTTTCTGACATGACATAAAATATTGGTTGCCATGGAAATCAGATGGAAGTTATAACTAATGCTGTATTTCATCATTTTGATTGTTGAATATTTCAAGAATTTATTAATGAGAAAATGTTTTTGAAAAAAATGTTTTGAATCATTTCATGCAAATTTTGTAACAAATTATATATTTTCAAAAAATATTTAAAGATATCAGCAGTCAAAAGTCAAACTATTGTTCATTCATTTACATGTTCTAAGTAAAATGGAAAGAATTACACTGCAGCAAATTTACAAGTACCTTAATGAACATTTCCTGTATCTGATCAGTAACTCCCTAAACAGCTGATCAGTAACCCTCTGTACAGATAACTTAGCCATTCAGTGCCACAGAAAACATTGTGGCCATTTGTCAAATTTTCAAGTTGGTCTAGATTTAACAGAATGTGCCACATTTTACTTTCAATTTTTTGAAGAACATACAATTGCTTATATCCACGTGGTGGATAGTTGTCTCAATGGCAATCATACCACATCTCCTTACTTTTATATAGAACATGAATATGAATTAACAATCATTATATCATTATATCATGCAAATTAATAAATGTGTATTATGCTTTTTTCGCTGAAACAGATCACAGTCTTCCATGCCATGGAGTTGTTGGGATTCAGTAGGGTAATACATGGCTTCAGCCAATCATTTCATTTAATGTCGGTTGCTATGGTAATGACCTTGAGTAGATGTTCACTAACATATGTAGTCACTTTCACTAACAAAGGGTTTTAATCAGTCCAGTTTCTGGGCTATATGAAAGAGCAAGTTTAGGCAGTAACTTTATCTGCATAAGTTGTAGAAATGAAAATCAGAGATTACTGCAAAATTTATCAGATTTCTTGTCAGATAGTTCAAAAATGTCCATACTGTATTGTAAACGTAAGTCGAGGGATGACTTTGAAATGTCATGTGTTCTTAGAAATCTTTGCACTGTATTTCACTTAAGAAATAACAGGAAAAATTGCATCCTGGGAGTTCCTTATTAGAAGGCTTCATAATTCATAAGAAAATGGTGTATTCTCTTTTGATTTATTAATTTGGAATTGACTTAAGACTTTCTATAGGAAGGGGAAGAATTTAGCATACATTCTCAAGATGTTTGTTATTTAGACACAGTGTACATCTAAAATGAAATATTTATAATATTTATTATATTCATAATTTACTCTTATTGTACAAATTTTTCTGACAAGAAACAAAAGGTAAATTTTGTGTGATCTTTGACATCTGTGGAAGAACTTACAAGTTTTTACTCAGTGATATTTTTTTTAAATATTGTAACTTTTGCACTTTGTGTGCCTTGAGCATTAAACATCTAGAGTTCTTATAGAAATTAAAGCAATAGGTCATCGCCAAGCTGCAGCTTATTTTAATGCAAAGCCATTCAGCTTTACAAGCAGATCCGTCATATTATGCTTTTTAATATAATTCAGTTTATACATTTCACTTGGATACAAAAAAAATGCTGTAATGGATTGGAATAACATTACAGCAAAGGCATACTCTATATATTTGATGAAATATTTCCCCATGGAAATTTCTAATTGAATAATTAAAAACTTGAGCTTTACCAATGCCCCACTGGTAGACATTTCAAAAACATTTTTTACAGATTTTTATATTTTTTCAAAGTTTGGTTGGAAGGGCATTTTGACATGATTGAGCAGATATTTAGCTCTCATGCCAATGGTGATTGAATACAATTAATTTAATTTAAGTGAACTTATTTAACCTTAAAATGAAATTTGAGATGGGGTGCACAAAAGGTAGAAACAAATATTTCATTTTTATCCCTGGTTTTGAATAAATAATGATTTTTTTTATTAAAAAGAGATCTAGTTAGAAATTGCCTATTGATATTTTACTTTTTAAAATGCATGTTGATGTGTAAAGATTGCCCAAAAAGAAACTAAAGGGTCACGACTCACAAGTCACACTTTTCACTGTCATGACTGTAACTTCTAATATTTGTATATGTCTCTTTTTTTTGTTTAAACAATGGGTGTTGTTAGATGTAACCAATGACACTGTCAGAGTAAGCATCTCATTTCAAATGATAACTTGACTGCTTACAACAAAAATCATAAATGTGTTTACCTATTTTCTTGCAAGTAGGCAAATCTATTTTAATTTTATCAACAGCTAATTTAAAAAGTAATACAGAGGTTCAAACAAAAACTGCTGAGGTTAAACTTAATACTAAGTTTGAGGCACTTGCATCAATCTGCCTCCTCTGAACAATTGTTTTAAAGGGTCGTTGAATAACCTTGATCATTTCAAGAAGTTTCATTACCGGTATATATTCATGATTAACGCTGTAAATAGTGATTATCAAACTCATTCAAGTTCATTCAACAATTTTATGTTAAAAGGTTATAATATAGTGAATTAGAATAGAATATTAAAATTATTTGACAAATTTGAAGCTAGATTATAGCTAATTTAGTACTTCATGTTTTCATTATTGCTTGTTGCTAGTCATTTCCATAGGCTATTGTAGTCATAGCTTGTTGCTAGTGAATTTGCATCGTAAAAATACCCATGTATCAAAACAACAAAATTCCTATATGTAAGGCATAAGTTCTTACCAAGGAGAGATTTTTGTCTTTTTGCCATGACATTGCCATGATATCGCCATGATATTGCCATGATCTTGCTTAAAGCTTTTAGAATTTACATATGGAAAAAGAGGACAATTTTCCAAACACGCAAGAACCCTTAAAAATTTAAACTCCTATGTTATCAATTTGGAAAGATATATGAATAAAAAAGATGTGTGGTATACATCAATCAAAAAACAACTCAAACGTTCCAGTATCTTTTAATATCCAAATATGATCGCAACGAAGGCTTCGTTCAGTTTTGATTTTGGTTCATGGTTTTCATGGCAAAAATTTTTTCTTGTTAAGAACTCAACATCCTCCAGGTCACCAATACCAAAACCATGCTGACTTTATTACATTCCTTACAGACTTAGATGAGTTAGACATTACTCCCATGGGTAAGAGATAAAGCCTTTCACAGTGTGGGTATGCAGTGAACCATTAACAGTAAATTTTACATTTTAAATTATTGCATGGAATGGGCAAAAAGAGCAATTTTAGTTTGGTTTGGAGACAAAATTCCTAAAATGTATGGATGGATTTAAAAATATTATATTTGGTTTAGTAATGTATTATTATAAATAAAAAATGCACATTTTATATTTTCATTTACTTTGATATTATTTCACAATTTTAGATTTTTTTTTTTTTTTATCTTACTTTGGTAGCAATTCAGATTTATTTAGCTAATTAAAATTAATGAAGAAAATTAAGAAGTCACTAAATAAAGTAGATTTTCTTTTTTTGTAGTTTTTACGTTACTTGATTTTTTTTAAACTGGAAATTTTACTAATAATAATTAACACTTGTACATTCTTTAAGTCCCTTTTTTAACCTTAAATTTTAAGAAATAATTGATATTAGATATTGATAAGTAAAACCTAATGAATTCTAACTTAAAAAAAACAGAGCTTATAACATTAATTCTGAATTGCGTTGTACTATTAAAACAAATGGTGAAGGGTAGTCAGTGAATTAATCGGTGTGCACAATCGTCAGTATCTATGGTGACTGGTAATACAACCCCAATATTTCACGCATTTTCTTGTGTATGATTTGCAATCCCATCAATGTATTTGAATTAAAATTAAAAAAAACAGGCTTTAAATTTGTCACAAATATACCAGAATTTATACCTGAGAAATCTTCTATAATCATTAATTATGCTTTTACCTTCCTTTGAAAAGTTATTTGATGTAAAAACAAATTCTGTATTTGAGTTTGAAAACCTTAATGTAAGTTAATATCTGAGTATGTTGATACTACTAGGAATGAACTAACATGGTTTAAAAACATGGTATTTACTTCATAGGCCATATTGTTGACAGAAATAAGTTTACAGATCAATTAAAGGAGATATGAGATCCAAAAAAATAGTTGTGCACTGATTTCTTTGAGTCATTGAACTGTTTAATTTTTTTCAGTCCAAGAAGAAGAGGATGACAAGATGATGGTAGAATGGTTTGAATTAGTTAACAACAAGAATGAGCTTGTCAGAAAGGAGGCTGATCTGATCTATTTGTAAGTAAGGGGGAATAACTCTTAATATTAATCTTTGTATGTATGAAAGTTACTATCTTTAAGAAAAGCAGTCGTTTTAATTTTTTTTTAAGCAGGACAATAATATAGCTAATAATTGAATAGAGGAATCCAGGGTTCTTTTAGATGATTTAAAGATGCAATATCATTTAGACTTTTTAAATGCAAATTATTTCCCACTAGGTTTTATACTTGAGCAAGATATTATTTCTAATCACATTTTAATGCATATTTTTGAATTAAACTTAAAAGCTCATCTTTTAATTCTTGGTTTTTGTGTTACACTTGTCATCAGTCATTTACATATTATACTGTAAATTCTTAAGTGAAATTTGGTCCAGTATATTTGTAAAACAGTACTTGTAAAGTGAATGGGTAATTAAAAACTAAAAACAGACTGTCCAGCAAAAAGCTTTTGGACCACATATTTTCCATTAAATACAAATGTTCTTATTGCATTGTAACAATTTTATTCATCAATATCAGATGAGCAATGCAGACTCCTTGGAGCCTCAAATTCATGTGAATAGCATCTGGAAGCAAAAACTAAAGAGCCCTCTTTTCTGTCATGCCTGTTGATGTTTAAACTATATGTGAGCCGGCAATGGACATTTGAGTGAAATGGCAGGACATTTGAGCGCCAAAGTATAAGACATTTGAGTGCCGATATATCAGAACATTTGAGCGAAAATAAAAATAAGTATAAGACACTTAAGCGAAAAAATAAGAATGATGAATGAGTACCTCTTCCGTTTGTTTGTTGATCATTAACCTGTACAAAATTTTCAAATCTATTTGTCTCAATATTCATCTTCGTTAACCATTCAAGGGTTTCCTTTCTAGATTTTGGAAGTGCAGGTAGAGATTTACGTCTCTTTCTATATCGATATAGCCTTTGAAACTCTGCTAATGTCTTCAGATTTTAGGTTTGCCCCACCCATGTTCTGTAACTCGGTATGGATAATTTTCGAAGGACGTGGAACTATATCATCATCGGCTTTGCGTTTTCCTTTTAGTGTTTTGTCCACTCTATATCAGAAACTTTCACAAACAAGGCTGTTTTTTCTTTTATAAGTCTCGGTCAAAATTATATCCATTTTAACATGTACATTGATTGGTAAGTAGAGATCAACTCAGGACTACACTACCATTAACTCAGCCAGAACCGGTCGAATTACTTGGATGTAAAATCAAATAAAATATATTTATTTCTAAAAACTTAGTACTCTTTTTTCTTACTTTTTAAAAATATTTTCTTAATTCATATAAATGTATCACAGGGAATTTTGCTCAAACGTCCTATTTGAAAATCCAGTTCCAGCTCTAAAATGTCCTATGATGTCGGCACTCAAATGACCCTATGTGCATTTTTTATTTTTGCTCAAATGTCCTATGCCCATATGAGCTGTGGTGGATAGAAATCCATCTTATGAAAATGAATATCAATACATCTGTTAACCTAAATTTCGGGTTGAAAAAAAATCTCTATGGAAAGTCTGTAACTGTTTGAAAATTGAGTTGTTATAAAAACCCCATAAAACAGACCAAAATTCCTCTTTTATTTTGTATTTGAATGTTCCAAAATAAATCAAAGTCTTATACACGTTCATGTATATGTGCACTTGCAGAAGGTCGATTTCTATCCAATGCAGCTCATATATTAAGACTGGGAAACAGCAGATAGAAAAGTGATAATGTATAGTTATTTATAAAATAATTATAAATAGAAATATAAAAACCTCAATACTTTGTGATGCAATTATAAAAACCAATCAAATGAATTTCTGCCCTATATCTGACGTATTGACAATAATAATATATCAATTGCAGCCTTTGTATGAGGTTGATACAAGGATATTTCGACCTCACACAAAGGCAATGATTCACAGTATAATGTTAACAGTAAAATTTAGGAAATATTTCCTTTTGAACACCTTTTATTGACGGATGAAGCAAAGATGTACATGAAGCGGAGTTCAAAAGCATGTTTGGCCTAAATTTTAATAGTCTTTTGAAGTAGCATATTTTTGTGATATAGATGCTTACTTCCCTTTCAGATAACTCTAAACTAAAAAGAGCCCAACAACCTTTATGCAATTGTCCTTTACAACTTTTAAAGACATTTGTAATCAAAATTTACATATTTGATTACAGATCTAGGGCACAAGAATTGGAAGGTGAACAGAATGAAATTGACAGACAGCTGAGGGCATTATTACAAAAAAATGGTAGGTACCTTGTTATGGATGCCAGAAATGCAATAGGAGGCTGGTACTAAAGTGTAGGATACAAATGGACGCTAGATTCCAAATATAAATGCTATGGTGTATGATATAAACAAATGCTAAGGTCTAGATATAAATGTTTTTAATACAACAGGGGTAGCTTAAAATGGGGGGTTTGCCCTCCCAAGATTTTTTTTGATTTTTAGATGCAAAATACTGCATTCTTAGAGCCTCTGATGTGATAATCCATGTAGATAACAGTCAATCTTTGAGCATTATATTTATGTTATCAAATATTTTCAGAATTAAAATTGTGTCACACAGTTTATTTTTGAAATGTTTAACCCCGCTGCATTTTTGTGCCTGTCCCAAGTCAAGAGCCTCTGGCCTTTGTTAGTCTTGTACCATTTTTAATTTTAAGTTTCTTGTGTATAGTTTGGAGTTTAGTATGACATCCATTATCACCGAACTAGTATACATATTTGTTTAGGGGCCAGCTGAAGGACGCCTCCGGGTGCAGGAGTTTCTCGCTGCATTGAAGACCCATTGGTGGCCTTCGGCTGTTGTCTGCTCTATGGTCGGGTTGTTGTCTCTTTGACTCATTCCCCATTTCCATTCTCAATTTTATGTTAATGTAAAAATAAGCAGATGTTGTATGATTGCCAATGAGACAACTCCCCACCAGAGACCAAGGAGATGTGGTATGATTGCCAATGAGACAACTCCCCACCAGAGACCAAGCAGATGTGGTATGATTGCCAATGAGACAACTCCCCACCAGAGACCAAATGACTCAGAAGTTAACAAATATAGGTCACTGTACACCAAACTCTCCACCAGAGACCAAATGACATAGAAGTAAACAACTATTGGTCACTATACAGCCTTCAACAATGAGGAAGAAAACTAACTGCCTGATTTATGTGCAAAGCAATAAACAAAAAACAAATATGATATACAGCAACAAACTACAACCACTGAATTACAAGCTCCTGACTAGAGACAGGCACATACAGAATGTGTTGGAAGAAGCCTCCTCCTTATGGCCTACCATGTTAGTCTACCATGTCTGGACTCTGCATAGTGTTTAGTTCAAATTTTCAAGTTTCCCATTGGATCATTTGCCAGTTTTGTACATATTTAATTTTTTCACAGCTCCCTTGGTGTTGGGCGTGTTAAATTAAAACAAATTATAAGTATCCTGGGAAAGCACTGGGGAAATGATCCAACCTTCCATTGAAGCAATTTTAAACATTAAATTAATTTAAAATGCAGGCAGAAGAAATTGATGACCACACTTAACAGTGATTTAAAAGAGCTTTTTGGTGTTGGTTGATTGAGTCTCTTTTGAAGTTTGTACAGCCAGTCACAAACATTCCATTTTTATCAAACTTGGTACAGATTTTACAAATCATCCCATGATCCGTATTCTCCAGCCACCTATAAGTAGCTTTCCACTATGTAATAAATTCTCTCTTCAGTTTTTCTGTTTCGTACTTTTTCGTTTCTCCTTTTGATCTTCACAATTAGCTGCAGCGGGACGTTTCTGTGGGTTAAAATTATGTAGAAAACGCTCCATCTCTGTTTTTTATTAAAATATTATGGGGGCTGCCATTTTGATAACTGAAGTCTCGCGAAATCACGGACATGCGTTATCGCTTTATCGCCAGATAATGAGAAATTTGATTGGTCATTATTTTTATTCGGTATCTCGTATCTGCATATTGATTAAGGAAAAAAGAAAGTACGAATACTGGGCAGACGAAAACCCTTGGGTCCTTCTGGCCCGAAAATATTTTCCTACTGGTCCAAGTGGACATAAGACATTCTCTGGCCCGGCGGGCCCCTATACTTTAAAAAAAAAACCAACATTCTACTGATGTAAACAGATGTTCAGGTCTATATAAAGACGTATTTAATACTAAGAAATGTTTGGTCCCCAAATACATGCTACTGATGTAAACAGATGCTAAGGTCTAGATATAAATGTTTTTAATACAACAGGTGTTAGGTCCCAAAAAAACCCAACATTCTACTGATGTAAACAAATGTTTAGGTCTATATGTAGACATATTTAATACAAAGAAATGTTTGGTCCCCAAATACTTGCTTCTGATTTAAACATATGTTCAGGTCTAGATATAACTGTATTTAATACAATGGATGGTAGGTCCCAAATATAAACTACTGTGTATACTTTAAACAGATACCATGGTGTAAATATAAAAGATTTAATACAACAGTTGTTAGGTCCAAAAAAAAACCCAATTCTACTGATGTCAATAGATGTTCAGGTATAAATATAAATATATTGAAAACAACAAATGTTAGGTGCAAAATATACTTGCTATTGATGTAAACAGATGCATATATCAGGTCTAAATCTAAACTTATTTAATACACAACAGATGATTAGGTTCTAAATATACATGTAACTGATTTAAACAAATGCTGAGGTGTAAATTGAAATTATTCAATACAACAGATGTTAAGTCTCATAAATTCATGCTACTTATGTTAACAGATGCAGAGGTGTAAATTGAAATTATTTATACACATTATGGTAGGTTCTAAATTTTAAATGTATACGCATGCCTGTAGTGATAACTGATTAAATTTAAATTGCAAAGGAATGTAAGTTCCAAATGTAAATGATCAAAACTAAAATGAATGGGATGGTTAATATATGTTTGTTTGCTTAAGGATGTTCGCTACTCTGTTTCAAAATATCAAGCTTTTTAAAAGATTGTTATAAATTGATAGTATATAAATAAAGGAACTAAATAAGCAGAAAAAATTGAAGGGTCAGTGTGCTTGTTTTTGAGATATGAGCCATTTAAAATTTGGCGGGAAATAATTCTCTCTAGATTTTTCATACATTTAACATTGGCACCTTTTTTCTTTCAAAAACAATGAAAAAATAACAAGGATTTTATAAGATTTTAAAAAATGACATTTTAAACTATATGTAATCATATTATAGAGAGAAAAGTAGGGGTTAGTGGGCAAATTTTTTTAATGACACTACATGGATAAAACCAGAGGTTTCCGAATATCTTGCAAAAATTCAAAAACAAGAGGAGCGAACATCCTTAAAACAGTATCACTAACCATAATAAAAAGAGTTAAAATGTGATTATAACAGGCAGTTGCTGCCTTTGCTGCTTTGACTTTGATGTCAAATTTGTTCCTGACTGAGGTCAAAAGGTCATGATACTAAAATTGACGAACTAGGTTATACTGATGCTATTTGAATTATCCTATGTATCTTAGAGTTAAAGGGGCATTAGCTGTCAAATTTATGTTCACTGATTTGACTCAAATTCTCTTAATTGATTTATAACATACTAAAACGTATATCCAAATTATAAAAAGTCTAAAATAAACAATTTTCTGATGCTTGGGCTCGATATTAGTATCATCATTTCGTGTGTATTTTAGTCTAGAGACCATCTAATTAACCATTGAGGTGACCTCCGAAAACTGCCGACAGTCATATAACCTGATATAAACATAAATATAGATATAAATATATAGTGAACATGTGCAATTGGATTTTTCTAGGTCTATTTGATTTCATTTTATAGATTAAAAAAATATGTTAATCATCGTTTTTACCTGCATAAGAATGAGTTTTTGTGGATTGAATGTTAATCATCGTTTTTACCGGTATAAGAATGGTTTACCATTGTTTCACTTTCAAGGTTGACATTCTCTTCCTTTTAATAGCTGAACATGTCTAATTTATGCATAACCCATCTCTAGCAATGGGGTTAAATTGAGGGTCACATGAGTACCGATTCAATGAGGTCGAGTTATTCACTTGCAAGTGAATAATTATTCAGTGATGTTTCTTAGCTTATTTTGACAAAATTGAACAAAACTGGCTGCTGAAAGCGAATTAATATTTCACTATTTCACTTTCATTAATGATTGAACATATAAAAATCATAGTTGACTTTTTTCATATCTCACAGCTAATGCGCCTTTTAAAAAATTTAAAACAAAAATTTAAAAGCGGTGGTATTTCATGTAGTAATATGTACATCCTTGATCAGAATTGTAAAATAAATTTGTATCATATATTGATTTGAGGTTGATAATGCTGAGTTGTAGGGTGTAAGCAAATTTTAGATCTGCCATGCAGCTACTTCCTGTTTGCGTTTAGTTTGAAATTTCAATCAATTAAACACAAAGACTCAGGTCTCGACCCGGTATTGGTCTTGTTCAGCATTACTTTCTACATGCAATGAAGTTCAAGTATTATTTGTTTTTTAATCAGTTAATTAACTGTTTGGAAAACATCTGTTAATTTTTTGGTTTTTTTTGTTGTTTTTTCTAGAAAAATACAAAACAGAAGAAGATAAAGTTGAAGAAGAGCAATTAATACAGAAGTTACTGGATGTTGTTAACCAAAGAAATATAATTGTTGACAGTATTGATGAAGATAGAATTCGGTAAGAAATAGAATAATTACATTCAATTCATATAATGTGCATTCATTATATTTCGTGGGGTACTTATTTGTGGATTTCGTTGGTAGAAGGGAACCACAAATTCATTGTTCTCAAAATACAAATTTTCTATAGGCTTGTATGCAGAGTTTTTCTAAATCCTCAAAATCAAGTTTTAAAGAGAATACATTTTTATCGACAGTATTTATAGTTTGAGATCCTGACTCACTGCCTAAATCTGAGCCAGAAGGAATAAAATGACATGTTTAAGGTGGTACATAACACTACAGGGAGGTAACTCTGTAAAAATCAGCTTAATGTTTTGATCACGTTCTATTGTTAAGGAAATATTAAGCTTCTCAATGATCAAAATTAGTGATTGTCAAACTGCTATATATCCAATGAAATTTTTCCAATAAAGTGTGTGGTCCAAGTTTTTTGAAATCTTTATATTTTTTTTCAAGGGTCAAAGTAAATATTTTGTCCAAATTTTATGAAAATTAAAGGAGCCAAATTAATTTTAGTCAAGGTGTTTGGTACCACCTTAAATTTATTAGATGTAAGAATGATGCGTTGAGAGACAACTAGTCCAGGAACACAGTTATCCTCCTTTCATTTTTGTTGTCGACAAATATACTCCTTAATGGGACAGCTGTGTATTACCGACAAGCACTCCCCAATTTATTTCTTCATATTTTATGCATCAAGTAGCAATAAGGGGTGTAAAATTACACTAAAAACAATGGGTAATGAATTTTTAGGCGAAGTAGTGATTTGGTCAATTGAAAAAGGTAAAACATGAGTATGTCTGAAGCTGACAAACTGAATTCAAAACCCCATTAATTAACATGAAATTGTCCATATTTAAAGTAAGAGCTTATGAACTTTTCTCTATTTTGTGTCCCAAAAGTAGTACATCACACTTTAAAAAATCTTATGGAAAAATAATATATCACACATGGCAGGTGCTCTCTACAACTCTTAATTGACTAGAATTGTCAGTTTTCCTGCCGAAGGTCGTGGTTCTCTCAAAGTACTCTTGCTTTCCCAACCAATAAAAACTGGCTGCCACGAAATAGCCAATAGTGCTGAAAGTGGTGTTAAACACCAAACATCAATCTTATTTGTTACAGTATATCTTAATGATAAGGAGTTGAATGGGAAATCCACTTTTTCAGCTCAACTGGTCCAAAGGGCCAGAGTTATCTTTTGCTGTCTCTTGGTGACTGTCTTCTGTCGTCTGTTGTAATTTATTGTTGTCCTCCCTTCCATAGGAAATGTGAGCTTTTGCCATCACTTGGCGTCCGTCATCGTACCTCCGGTGTAAACTATTTCAAACATCTTTTTCTCTGAAACTACTGAACCAATTCCAACCAAACTTAATCTGAATATTCCTTAGGGTTATGAAGTTTGTGTTTTATTTTCTGTTTCGTCAAAAAACATGGACACCATGGCTAAAAATAGAACATTGGGGTAAAATGCAATTTTTGGCTTATATCCCAAAAATAAAGCATTTAGAGCAAATCAGACAAGAAGTTAAAGTATTCATTAGGTCAAGGTCTACCTGCCCTGAAATTATCAGCAAAATTGGGTATCTGATTTTTTAGGTTATTGCCCCTGAATTGATGATTTTAAGGAAATTTTGCAGTTTTTGGTTATTATCTTGAATATTATTATAGATAAAGATAAACTGTAAACAGCAAAAATGTTCAGCAAAGTAAGATCTATTAAAAAGTGTAATGACCAAAATTGTCAGTTGACCTCTTAAGGAGTTATTGTCCTTTATAGACAATTTTTCCTAATTTGTTCATCTAGTTTGCTTACTTTAAAAAATCTTCTCCTTTGAAACTGCTGAATCAATTTCAGCCAAACTTGGGCAGAATGAGTTTCAGAGTATCTAGTATAAATTTTATATTTTATTTCCTTGTACGTCAAGAAACATAGACACTATGGCTAAAATAGAACATAGGGGTAAAATGCTTTTTTTTTACTTTTGAAGAAAATATAACAGATACAAAGAACATTTAAATGACATTTTTAAGCCACTCATTAATATATATTGAAAAGCAAAAATAATCATTGATGAAAGATTTAAGATCTATAAATAAGTCAACATTTAGCTGAAAATTGTCAGTCACCATACAGTTATTGCCCTTATATGTGGATTTTTACTCACTTTTTGCATTTTGATAAAAAAAAATATAGTAAAAAGACTAAACAGTATTCTGAAAAAAATATCAGCAACACAAAATATCAACTTAGAAAGAAGCATACATGTGAACCTCCCAACGGGAGTACAATAATCCCGTTTTCAGGGGTCTTCCCCGTCCTCCCGTTGAAGAGAAAAAAATCCCGTGTATGAAATATTTCATGAATGAAAACTTTCAGCCGCCATTTTTGATCATTTCTTACTACAATGTTTATTGAAGAGGTAAAAACCCGAGAGTACCAAACATATCTGGTGTAACTGACATTACCTGAAGTTAAATTTTACCTGTAAATTAAATCAAAGAACATGCATTATTATATGGCTTCACTTGCGAGCTTGGGTGTCAAAAATTCTGGTAATCAACGATTTTTACCTCAGGCTAACTGCCATTGTGTAATAAAAACTTTGTGTATTTAAAAATACTTGAAATAAATTTTGGGTTACTTCTCTTTTTTTTTCCTGTTTTAAGTTACTTTCCTTTAAATAATGTAAACTGTTTAAAGAATATAAATGAAATATAAATTGAACAAATAATCATATAAGGATGGTATTTAATGATTTTAAATGCCTCAAGACAAATTAAAAAATAATAATTTGGAAATTATTTGAGGGTTCTATACTTCTTTTCAAGGCTTAAATTGAAATTTTTATAATAAATTTGACCTTTGTATTTGGTATGACCGACCCTGCAAGGGCTGTATTGCCAGTCAAGGTCGTTAAAAACTTCCATTTATATATTTGGTCTGATTAAGTTTCTAGGATGTTTTACAATGTTAATGTCTCTGAGGAGACGTTATTAAGAGTTGAACGATGGACAGTCTGCGGGCTGAATGCTTCTTACTATCTGATTGGAAAATATTGCTGACTCTATCCAGGAACATATATACTGTTCCCAGCTCTATCATAGCTAACTTGTGTTGATTGGTTGGGACAATTCGAAACCTAGTAAATGTCTTTTGATCCCGTAAAGTGTCGGAATTGAACTCTCTATTTTAGCAATTAGATTTTGCCTGGTTACCAATCATGCAAATCGGTACACAGGTAACACTTATCTATAAATAGCCGAAACTCCTGAAATATTGTAAACACAGTGTTCTATCCAGTCGCTCACTGTTACATACATCTTGTTCATGAAAGCATACTTATGAAAACATTGTGCTTTTTTCTTAGCCTAGATTATAAATATTATACTTAGTAAAAAAACCAAAAGCAATAATCAAAAATGACGAAAAGGGAGATATGTTCGATTAAATATTAATTTTAACGGGAATTTTTATCTCTGAAAGAGGGGTGCGACCTTTTTGTGGTAAAAGCACATATATGTCTCAGTCTGGTAAAAGGAAAATACCCTAGCGATCAAATATTTTTTTACAATTAGTATGTCTACACATAGCTATGATGCATGGTTACGCTATTTCATCATAGGGGATACATTGCTTGACAAATATATAAAGCATTTACGACAGTTATTTTAATTGCATTTGAAAAAAAGTATTGACATCTGATTAGCAGTCAGGGGACTTATTGAAATAAGTGATTTTTAAATCACTTATTTAAGTAGCAAATTCGAAGTTTTGTCACAAATTGTGATTTTGTAGTTTTACCAAAATTTTAAACACATAGGTTTAGAGAATATCTTTTCATTAGTAAAATTGAAAAAAATGAACTTTTTGCTTCTTTTAAGCAGCAAGGTTTATGCCTTTGATGCAATCATTTAGCTGCAAATTCTATTTTAGTTGAAAAAATGCTATAAAAATGGCTTTACATAATGAACTGATACTTTCTTAAAAGATTTTTCCCAGCAGAGGGTTTATTTTTCCTGTAAAATTCAAGGTTTCATCTTATAGATTATGTAATAAAATTCTACTGTTCGCGATCAAAATTTCACTGTTTGGGGGTGTTGAAATTAGTGGGGGTTATAAAAATAATGATACTTAAAAGAAGTGATTTTTTGGAAGGAAATTGAGGTATGATACTTAAACAAGTGATTTTTATGTCATTATCCTAGATTTAGTACAATGTCATCACCTGACATGACCTGGTCATCCTATCAACACAGATGTTGGTTCTGATAATTTTAGCAACATAATTAGTCCCTGGGTCATTAGTATTCTATATTTAAAGCTACAACAAAATTAAATCACTTAGTCTAGTGATTAATTTGTACTACTTAAATAGGTGATTATTAAAGAAAGACAACTCTTACTTCCAACCTTTATGGACATACCAGTAATGTTACTTGAATCAGTGATTTAGAAAATCACTCATTTAAGTAAGTCCCCTGACTGATTAGTTTCAGATTCAATCTTCAACCTTGACTTAGCTTAAATATCACCTAAATTTCTCGACCTCATCAAATATCATGAAGCTTAAAATAGGCCTATTCTAGTGGCTGATCTCTACCTCTCACTAATGAAAAGTATGATAAGTAATGAATATTACTTAAAACAATGAGGAGGGTCAAGAACAAACTTCTAGTAGTCTTTATAGTAGGGTGCCCAGTCAACAAATTTGATCGATTTGGGTTAACGGAATAACACACAGCTGTATTTTATATCATTGGAAAGAGGAGAACAAGCCTCGTCGAAATATTGATGTCGTCGTTGTCTATAGTGGTCACGATTTTCTTAAATTTGGGTTAAAGGTCAAATCTAAAATTTCAAGGAATACGAAGAGTCACGTTTAGACAGCTGGCCACCCATAGATATTTGCGTTTATAGCAAAATAAATTCGAATAATGCAAAGGATTATAACTATAGTTTCTATATTTAGGACTAATTGGACAATTTTATTGCCAACTATGGTTCGAGATTGACATCTGTACTTATATGGTGCACATTTACAATTTTCATTCAGCTGTTAAATAACAGTGACCTTGACCTTTTAAAAGTTCCAAAATCGGAATTTTTACATAAGATTCGATACAAGTGATCTTTAGAGATGTTTTTTAGATATTAACATTTATAAGTTGCCCTCCTAAAATGTTATTTTGTCCGTCTTTTGATAGAATGTGTTCATCATGATTTTCTGGTAAATATCCAATTTTCTTTTGGTGAACGTGGAAGCACATCAAATAATACTTAGTTCCAAAACTGATGAATATTAACACAGAATTTATTGCATGAATTAGCAGGTCTGAGTATATATTTGCTTTACAGAAATAAAAAAAAACTGCAAAAGGTGAAAAAGGGGGAGGGTTTATGTTACAAGTTATGAAAACAAAATGAGAATTAGAAACAGCAGGCTAATCACTCCATCTTACACACTTATATAAAGTGTAATTTACATGACTTATCGAACATAAATTGGCCTACAATTGACATGACGTTAAAGATTATCTACAAAATGAAAGTTTTGAACAGCATCGATGTATTTCACAAACACTTGTAAACAACATCAATCTGATTAAAATATAGATCTCTGATTTCGTTTTCTTCATTTGAGCTTATATATAAGAGCACGCGAATTTTAATAAGAGCGAAGCAACATAGAAAAATTGCCGAAGCTAGTAGTAGCTATTACGTCTCATTGTCTACTGTTAAGTTGAAAGCCCACCGACTAGGTTTAGGTAAGCAAGCTAAATTCAGTTGTTTTTTTTTTAAATCGCATTCGACATAAGTAGCAGAATGCAATGCGAGGCATACATAATACAATCTGATGGTGGTGGCGGCAACACCGTAAGCTATTTGTAGAGGGCAGAGGAACTGGATGATTCATACTTTGTATATAGATTCATTGTATTACGATGTTTCCGTCATATAATCATTATCCTTGACCTCATATTCATGGTTAAGTGACTGCTAAAAAACTGTATAGCTTTTTTCGTTATGTGAATATCTCAATTATCATGAGTTCTAGGATAACTATATTTGGTTACTAATATATGGTATCCTTGCAAGGCCTACATGACCGTCAGACATAATTCATCTGACCTCTACCTAATTTCAAGGATCAGTGAATAAGGTTAAGTTTCAGTGGTCAAGTCCGTATAGTCTCAGATAGTAGTGGGTTAAATATATTTGGTGTATGGAATGTTGACAAAGTGTACATGATTTTGTTGCAGCGTTCATCTGACCTTACCTCATTTACATGTAATACTTGTTGTATAATATAAAAATTAGGAGATGTTGAAGCAAGCAATTATAGGCAACCGTACGGTCCTCGACAATGTGAAAAACGCATACCGTATGGTCGGCTATAAAAAGGTCAGTTATGAAAAAAATGAAAGAATTCATTTGAAAAAAAACCAAAGGCCTGATTTATAACAAAAGCTAGTTTTTACGGTAATGATGTTTATGATCATACTTTTTCTCAGACAATTGATGATGTCCTTTCATTAGTTTTCAGTAAGGGAACACCCATTTGATTTCGACTCGAAAACAGGGAGGGAATGAGGATTTTGAAAATGAATTACTTGGCCTGGTATGAACTGAAATAATTGACTTTGCACAAGACAGGATGAGAATGAACACTCTTCAACATGAAATGCAGAATAGTTGAGGATATGAATGTTTACAAAAGTAAAAATAAATTTTCGCGCCGCCAGCCCCATCCCTTTCTTCAGAATATAAAATGTTCTACCCTAGCGGAGAGTACTATTATATCGGTACCTTGTGTTTTTTGTCTTCATGTTAGTTTGTTTTTGTGCTTCATGCCGATTTGATAAGTCAAGCCATTTCAAACTGTTTTTTCAACAGATTTTTCTTATGCTGTGTTGTTATACCATTGTCCAAGTCAGGGGAGGGATGAAGGATCACAAACATGTTTAACCCCTCCAAATTCTGTATATGCCTGTCCAAAATCAGGAGCCTGCAATTAAGTGGTTGTCGTTGGTTGCTGTCTGTTGTATGTTTTTTTTTGTTTTTTGTTGCACGAACGGTGGTATATTTTTGTTGTTGTTCCCATCGAAAGGGATTTAGGTCGAAAACATCAAATAAGACTTTTGATGTGCCATATTCCGGGTGTGAAACAAAACCAACCGATTTGATTCTTATACTACAATTTTCAACAAGAACACTTTCCACTGTCATCAGCTAAGAGACGGCTAGCTTTTTTGAAAAGCTATTGTTTGTTGTAGCAGTGATTGTTTTAGTGGATAAAGATAAAAAAAAAAAAAAAAAGAGATTGTAGAATGTTAGATGGAATAAAGATAAAGAAAATTTATAAGTACAAGGGTACTATTAACATATTACATTTGGATGGAAAGTTGAAGAAAAAACACTTTAAAAGACAATTTCTACATCACACTTTTACATTTACGACAAAATTCATGTCAATAAACACCTCCTGATCAGAGTCCTAACCTCCTGACCAAAATTCTCCAATCTCCTGATCTGAGTTTCACAGTCCATCACATGTATGAAGAAGAGTTAATTTGTATTCATGATGTCATTTTCCCAATATTGAAATGTTATTACACTACTAAATATCATCAGCTGCCCTTTAAAAGCCAACTTCTGTTCTGCAGGACATGTGTTAAATTAGGGAGTGTAAGTCTACATATATAACATGTGATTAAATTAACATCTTTTGAGTGATCTTTATTAAAGTACTTAGTTTTTTGTAGATACAATCTGGTGTTTGTTAGACATCAATTACTTTGTCTAACCTTCATGAAACTTCATGAAACTTTGGCACAATTTTTTTTCTGATTATGAGATGAAGCAAAATTTAGAAAAAAGTTTTTTTTTATTTTTCAAATTTGCTGATAGTTTTTTGCAGTTAACATTTACAGACAGTCTGGGATTAAATTTTGTTGACAATAAATTTTCAAACCTTTGTTGATTGTTAAAAAACTTGGACAGAAGCTAATCTTCAAGACAAAAAAAAAAGCATATGAAGAAAAAAGTTAGATTTTAAAATCTGTATTTTACTTATAAAAGGACTTACTTTTTACAGACAACATTACATTTTTATCCCTACAGCAGCAATTGCAGGCCAGACACAGGGTTCGTGGGACCCTTTTCAATTTTTTTTCTTAAATGATATTTTTAAGAAAGAGTGTGATACAATAGACAAGTTTCCAATTTCAATTTTATTAATGAACTGCACACTTGGGGTCATTTGTTGGAAAACACATCATTGGACATTGTGACATGAAGATATTTGCTCTGTGACCTCAATTTTTTTTCAGAAAAAAAAAAGCACCAGTTCATTTCAGTTGGTAGACCATGTATAGAATTATGCAAAAATAAACAGTGACTGTTATGTAAAAATGGAGAAATGGTTGACCCTTACTGCATATGAAATTGACTCTGAGACTCTTAATTTTAATTGATGATTACAGTTGATGGTCAAAATAAGCCTTTTTATAAGCCTGTTGATGGGACGTATTATGGTATAACATTGTCAACATGTCTGACAGTAACTCAAGTATGCTTTAACCAATTTTCATGAAACTTCAGTGAATTGCTTATATCTATTGACATAAGGTCCCTTTTGATTTTTATAAGGTTTAGATTTTACGTTTCTGAGTTATGGGATTTTATTCATAAAAAGGGGGTGGTTTTCCAGATTTTGGACAATAACTCAAAAAAGCAGTTTTCATGAAACTTTGGTGACTGCTATCTATTAAAATAAACTCCTTTTAGTTTTGTTGATAATTTTTTTTATATGACATTGAGGAGTAATGGAATTTTATTCGTTGAAAAAGTATCATGCGCTCATGGCGCAGGTCTTTATTATATATTATTCTATATTGATTATTTTAGTGCAGTATTGAATTGCACCAGGTTTATGATTACCCAGTAATCCCAGTTATGACTACCAAATTTCAATTTCATTCTCAAATTTATCATCCCAAGAACAACAGGTAAATCTACAGAGTCCTAGGAATTGTTCAAAACCATTTTTTAGATTTCATCAAATAAAATTTATTTGATCTTACTGGGGGATTCATACCTGTTAACTGACCTGATTATTGCAGGTGTGACCAGGGAATTTACAAGTTCATCTTAGATTATCTATGACTCACCCATGCATGTGACATTACATAACCCAGGATTTCAGTTTCTGACCCGTTATTCCCTGTATCATCACTTCATTCCATGATACATTATATATCTAAAATGTCTTTGAAATTATGCTAATATTTAAAAGAGTTTCTTCGACAGGATTCGAGTTCAATAATTTGATCTGAATTTACTGTTAAACAGCTGTTAATTCATGATTTTTTTCAATCTTATTTCCATTTTCAGATATGAAGAAGAAGATAAAGATATTGCTATGGCCTTACAAGGTATTTTGACATACAATCATTTTAGTTGTTACGGCTGTAAATGGTATGGATATTGTTAATGAGGGCATATAGATTCAATTACTGTAATTTCATAAAAAATTTTGCTTTGTTTTTATTATTATTGCAGTATTGGTTTTGCAAACATTTAAAATTTGTATTGCATTATTTGTATGCAGCATTCCATGAAATCACAACAATTAATCTCAGAAATTTTGTCCACGACTCAACATGATTCTCTGTAGATTTATTATAGATTTAACATCGGCACCTTTTTTCTTTCAAAAACTTGAAAAAATAACAAGGATTTTATAAGATTTTAAAAATGGCTTTTTTAACTATGATTGTAATAAAATTATAAAAAGAAAAGAATTGGTTAGCATGCAACATTTTTAATTGCCCTACATGGATTAAACCAGAGGATTCCGAATACCTCGGATATCCTTAATTGACACATACACAGTGACCTCATTTAAGTATTATACTGACCTTTATAGTTTTTGATTAATTGACACACGTAATACAGCTGTAGTTCAATGACCTCAATTAAATATATGACCCTCCCATTCAGTTATGAAATTAATTTACACTTTTATGAAGACTTATTGCAAATTGATCTAGCTTATTTAAGTGTATTACTAACCTTTTTAGTTTTTAATTAATTGACACACATAAAACAGCGCAGCACAGTGACATCAATTAAATATATTTCCCTTCCCTTATCAGTTTTTAAAATTAATTGACACTTATGAGGGTCATAATGGGGGTATCTTCATGATGAATAATGTTAAAAAATCTTGCCAAATGACGTTAACGGTAATTTTTTATGCATGATGATAAAGTATTCATTTAATTTTCTTTATGATCATAAAAAAATCTACTGATTTTGACGAATCACGTTAAATTCTTTCCAAAAATAACGGTAACGGGTAATTATTTTAGACCTCTGACGAATCACAATAAGGATATTTTGACGAATCACGATAAAATTTTAACTAATTTGATGCTAACGTCAGCCCAAAATGACCATTTGACGCCTGATGGTAAAGGGGATTCCTAACCTCTTATGTGAAAACTTACTGCACAATGACCTAAATTAGATGTTGTACTCTACCTCTTAGGTTTTGAATTAATTGAGACTTGTATGAAAACTGCTGCAAATTGACCTTGATTAAATATTTTACTCTTCCTCTTAGTTTTTACATTAATTGACACATGTTGGATTTGTCAGTGAGGGCATATTAGATTAAGTTATTGGTTCATAGACATGGTCTTTTCAATGAAATATTTACTGTCAGCTTGTACTAAATATGCAGAAAGAAAATAGCTTAAATTTTGAAGTTATATATGATGTAAACTTTCACAAGACAGATAGCTACTTATAGTGTCTGAGGTGATAAAGACAACATGTTAAAAGTGTAGGTAGACTCTCAAATCTGGTCTTAAGAGGGAATGGACCAAATGTTAAAAAGGGACAAATGGAAGCTCACACTTGGAATTTGACACTTATGAGCTTTAAATGTTTCATATTGTTTTAATGCTCTACGACAAAGGTGTAAAATAAAAAAAAATCATTATGTAAAATGGCAAATAAAAGGTCTTAATCTTACTCCAGGGAGTGTTCACTTTATAACATCTCCATGGAAAAAGTTGTCTATTTGAAAATTATCACCTAATTTTTACAAACCACAAATACTTGAGACCATCCCTTCTATGCTTCACAAAAATATATATGCTGAATTTTCATTATTAAAATTTCTTCTCTGAAGCTACAGTCAGTTCATTGCAAACTTTATGGAATGATGACAAGGAGATCTTCTGCATTATAACTCATTTTGTATGTATGAAGGGGACTACATGGGGCTGTGGTTCAATCACATCCTATATGAATTCAAATGTTCGTTTCCCTTAAAAAACATAGGATTCAATCATTTATTGTTTTTCAGAAGCCACTATTCTTTTTTCATCTAATAGGAACAAAATTCACTTTCATTCAAATTGGTGATTAAGTTTTATTTTCAAATATGACATGTCCCCTGAAATTGAAAGAAGAAATAATTTTTTTCTTCTATGTAATTATTACAAACAAGTTCCTTTCATATTTCATGCTGATCAAATGGCATTCTTTGTTGAAATGATAAACAATACTGATCTCCATGGAATTATATGTGAAATTTTTGCACCCACATGAACATAATATCGGTACTTTCAAGCCACTAGTATTTAAATTAAAATACATGTGACCAGTTTCAAGAACATATTTTGAAGCCTTTTAGTTCCAAATGTATTAATCAATGACATATGTGTAATATTGAAATCTTATTTCATAGATTTTATGAAAGTAAATGGTAAGATGAATTCATCAATAGAATAATTATGCTTTTCCCAAAACTCCAATTTCATTTTAAATTACATTATATTGCATTACAAAGCGTAGTAGATTTAATATGAAAAGTCAAAGATAATTGCAAATTACAATCTTGCTTTTCCTGTTTATTCTTATATATCTTTTAAATAATTTTGCATGCCTTCTTGAACTCACAATGAATATTTTACACAATAAACAAATATTTGACCTGTAGATTGCTAGAAAACTTTAATGTAGGAGCACAATTCAAATTTTCTTTTTTTAGTGCCCTATGACCCCTGTGTCAATTTTTGAAGGATCATGGTAGTATTTCAAGAACAAATGTTTATTATATGCCTTCTTCAAAGGAGGGGGTATACTGGTTTGTCTGTCTGTTGGTATACCTGTCCATTTTACCATCCATCTAATCACATTTTTCAAAGAAGTTATAAAGCAGATCTTCCAGAAATTTGGTATCATTAGTGAGCAATAACTGATTTGCTAACTAGACCTGAGATATTTAAGTGACATAAATATGGTAAAAAAAAATGGCAATAATGAAAACCATTTGTCAAGTAACCTTCAAATTATGAGTTAAAAAAGAAACTGGCAATAACTATGTCACTCTCATTTTATCATGTTAAGAGCTGATGTATGGAAAAATATTTGTTAAGTGGCAATAACTCTGTCACTCACATTTCATGGTGTTTGAGGTGAGATATGATAAAGTATTTGTTGAGTGACCTACATATGGTAAAAATGCAACAACTGTGTCACTCACAGTTCATGATGTTTTGAGGTGAGATATGAAAAAGTATTTGTTAAATGACCTATATACATATGGTAAAAAAAAATTGCAGTTGTGTAGAATTTACATTCTGAGATATGAAAGAATATTTGATACTGGAATAAGATTCTGGGTTTTAGCTGAGTTTTCTCTAAAGGGATTATGAAATGTGATATCAATAAATTATTGACAAAAATGGGCTCTGCTTTTATAAAGTTGTAACTAATACTTTGCAGCTTTTTTATGTTTACTGTTGAAGCTAAAGAATATGTGTAAGTGCCTTGTACAACCTATAATATTCTGATGGCCAAGATATTAGGGTGTTTCATGACATTCAAGAAATTTGATGTCATGGAATTGTAAACAATAAGGACAATAAATACACTATTTAGATTTCATATCATTTTCATTAATACATATGTGTCCTGGAATAATGAAACTTAAATGAACCAATTAATTTCTTAGCAGCTGTAGATTCATTTGCATGTAAGGCATTGGGTCATAATTGACTATGTGCCTGCCAAAAAGAGCTGAATTTAAAATTTCCCCATAACTTTTTTAACCTTCTAGTTTCTTCATCAAATTTCTGAACAGCATAACTATGTAAAAAAAAACCCTCTTGAGATATCTTAGTGTTTATTTGTCTCGCGTCAACAACGTAGAAAAAGGGAGACTTAGGTGTGCTGTTTCCGATGGCGATGTCGTCAGTGTAAACAATGTATTAGTTTGTAATAAGGTCAAGTTTATGGGGAACCACTAATGGTAGGTCAATGATATTTGGTTTGCAGTTGTATTAGCATTGGCACATCCCATTTCGATAGAGAATATTTGGCCCTGCCCCCTCAGTCATGGTCTATTGACTTTGAAACTTTTGCTAAGTCAATGATATTTGGTACACAGTTGTATTGGCATTTGCAAGTCTCATCTCCATGAAGATATTATATGGCCCCACCCCCTCATCATGGTTCATTGACATTGAAACTTTTACATAGTTTACAAGTTATAGATTGTGTTTAGGTTAGTTTAAAGGAACCACTTATGATAAGTCAATGGTATTTGGTATGCAGTTTTATAAGCATTGGCATTTCATATTTCCATGGAGGTTATTAGGCCCTGCACCTTCAGTCATGGTTCATTGTCTTTGAATGATTTGCATAGTTTACATGTTTAAATATTGCCATTTTAATTTCAACATTTGCATTATACCATCAAAATTACAAAACGGGAGACATATCTCTGTGTCAACAGTTTTTGTTTATGAAGAAAATGGTGTTGATGGTTATTTTGTGTGCCCGCCCCTAGTGGTTGTGCGTCTGTTAGATTTATTTAGTATTTACTTATAGTATTGTATTTACTGAGCTTGGTACAGACCTTGTCCATGAATTAAGAGTCTTTCATGAATTTAAGAAAAATAACCTTCACCTATATTTATTGGATTTATTGTTTTGTTGGGTTGTTGTCTCATTGATGAATAACCCTCATTGCCATTTATTGATTAGTATGAATGTACGTCCACAGCTCAGTCAATCTCATTCTTCAATTTAAGATCAAACAAATGCACGTAAAAGAAAGAAAAGGTCTTGCTTAAAAGTTTTAAGAATTTTGATCCAAATCATGGCAAAGTAAATGGCATTTGAACAGGTAAATTTTAATCCCCTTTCCTCACAGCTAACAAGTTATAAAATTTCACTGAATTTTGCATGATTATCACCAACTAATCTGTACCATTGGAACATTTTTATTTACCCTTATTTTTATGTCCAACCTATGATAGTAAAGGGGCATTATGTTTCTGATCTGTGAGTCCATCTGTCCCAGATCAAGTTAATGTTTAAGTTTGAGGTAATTAAAAGTATTGGTTTGAGGTAGGTTAAAGTTTTGGTTTGAGGTAGATTAAGTTTTGGTTTGAGGTAGGTTAAAGTTTTGGTTTGAGGTAGAATAAAGTTTTCGTTTGATGTAGTTTGTGGTCACATCAACTTGAAACTTAGTTCACGCTTAATTTATGTTCATTATAATGTGAATTGTATAATATGTAGGTTTTTGACCCAGTTTTCATGGTTCACTGACCATGACAATATGATAGAGTTAGAGGGATATGGTGTCCTCTGGACACATATTCTTGTTATGAATACCTCCTTTTCAAAACCAAAGTAAATTTCAAAATTTGCTTTGTTTAAAAGATATTTGGACAAAAAAAATAATAGACCCTGTTTATCTGATAGAGGGTCACATCTTATCACCCCAACACACCACTGCATGGGTAATTATAAGCAACACATGTTGAGAGATTGCCACACACCTGTCACAAAAAACCTCTCCAGGATCACTTCTTTGGAATAAGATCATAGGAGGTTGATGCTGTGGATTTTTTTTCATCCTACCCAAGTATCCATATATTTCCAATTGTTTGTCAAAGTTTGATCCACTTTGGAGTCCCATCCCTCCCCTTACTAGTTGTTGGTTTGTTGTTGCATTGACTTGATCCCCACATCTTTTTTTTATATCAAAACTTTTATATAAAAATGTAGTTCATTTTGAATTTAATTTCTGTCATTTAATCTTATAAATGGTGAACTTTATTTACCAAAAAATATGTGGGTTTCAGGAATCAAGAATATCTTAAATCAGAAGCCATTGACTGGCTTTTATAGATTTTGGGCTGCAGTTTACACTTCTGCTACAACATAGATCATTGGACTTGATTGTCAAAAAAAAAAAAATATAGAAGAAAAGGTTTTGCTCTCTGAATCAATCCTGCTTGTTGGTCTTCAATGAAAGTGAGTGAAAGATTTATGTGGTCCAATGTAAAAATATATAAGATTTGGATCAGAAGCAAAGTGAAAATAACACTCCAGAAATTTGGTGTGTTTGAAGCCTTTTCTGGATTTACTTTCCTCAGGAACACTCAGACTCAACTATTTAAAAGCCAAGGATGTATAAATACTTGAATACTTGAACTGTATGACCAAAAGCAACCTGAAAATAATAGCAAAAACTCATCAAAGGTCAACTTTTGGCCAAGGGAGTTTAAAATTTATTTATAGAAAATTAAAAAAATTATGTTATAAATCATGTCAGTACAAAAGCACTTATTACTGAGCAAATGTTACTGTTATGGGAGTAAAAGATCACTAGCAGCAATATTGACCCAGTGCTAGAAAAAGTGCTTGGAAAATCATTATATTCATTTGAAGTGTCAAAAATGCTTTTCTGGATTTACATTCACCAGGAAAGCTCAACATTTGCATTATACCGTCAAAATTATATACAGGTGAGACACATCTCTGTGTCGACTGAAATTTATTAAAATAGTTATAGAATTTGATTAACTAATTTCAGTTGCTCCTGTGATTGTCTTATTTAGGATTATTTTTTACTTAAAGTTTCCTAGTATCTTCATTTTTACTAAAATTTACCTGTTTTCTCCCTTTTTCAAACATAACATTGTTACAAGGACCTTTACCAATAAAAATTAACAGTTAGTTTTTGCACCTTGATTTTTGCATGATGTTTACTATTTCCTTTTTCAAAACCTTGACATTTTTATGTGAGAATTTTTTTAAATGTTTTTTTTTTGTTTGTTTATAAGTATGAAACCATGACAACTTTAGTGTGATTAAATTATGAAAATCACAGATTTCTTTCAGGTTTGAACATGTTTACGGGCACCCAACCCTTCCCTTACCAGGGACAGTGGTGTAACAGCACAACACAAGAACAAACTATAAAAAAAGTGAAAAGGGCTTAAGAACAAACTAAGAAAATGGTTGAAAAGGGCTGAACTCATCAGATCAATACAAAGCACAAAAAACAACTTACAAAAACACAAAAGTCACAGATCTGAGAGTACTCACAGTTACTAACAGCTAGTTCAAAGCCAATAACGACTATTAAATGAAAAAGCATTAGTTAATATCTGGATCATCAAGAATTTTTATTTGATTATAGATATATATTTTGAAGGCTTTTTTCTACATTAAGCTACTTTTTTCAATGTAGATTTGCTGATGATTTGTTTGTTATAATTGTAATTGTATGAAAACAAAAGGGGGAAAAAAATGCTTGTGTAGTGCATAAATGGGTGATTTTTTTTACTACAGGAATAGTATTTTCATTCCACATCATAACAATACATTCCAGTGGAATTACAGTGGTAAAATTTACAAATGATATTCCAGTGGAATCATCAATTATATTGCAGTGGAATTTTCAATTATATTGGATTTACCAGTGGAATTCCAATAGGTCACTGGGATCCAGTGGAATCAATTGATACTCCACTGGAATTCCATTAATATTTTCTATGGGGCATGATGTCAGCATTGTGATAGCCTTCAATATATCTATACATATTATACCTTGAAACCATTTTCATAGTTTTTATCACATTTTCTTCTAATATTATTATATAATTAGTAGTTGGGACTTCGGATATAGAATCATTGCAAGTCAAACATGTTTGTGTGAAAGGGTTCAACAGCATCTTGCCCTCATTTCAAGATTTAGTGGTCAGTGTTAGGTTTCATGATTGGGTCAGTTTCTCAGATATTATAAGGTCAACTATATTTGGTGTTAAGAACAATTGTTAGATGTACAAATATCTCTGAAAAGGTTCATCTAACAACCATCTCATGTTCATGGTCCAGTGGTCAAAATTAAATTTTAATAATTACCCTGTTGGTCTATTATATCTTTAGACTGGTGATTTGTATGTAATTCAAGCAGTCCTAAATGTTTATTTTTTCTTTATAGCACTCTCACAAGAAAGTGGGCATGTGACAATCCAGTCGACAGAAGCTTCATTTTCAAAGAAAAAGAAAAAGAAGAAGAAAAAAGGAAAATTGCTTTAAAACCATGGACAGTGAAAAAAGGAAAAACATGTTTTAATGGCAACTACAAATTATTGATTCTTGTCATAATATAAAACATTTGTTTGTGAAATAAGAAAGATTCATTTTAGGCTCAAAATAAAGTTTATGAAAAACAGAATTATATTTTGTAGTACTTGTTCAAAGCATTAAACTCTTTATAAACATGTTTTAAATTCCATAAAATGGTTAAGTTCACATTAACAATCTTTGCATGGTTTCCACTAAATAAGAGCAATTCATGAAAATGGAACCATTTCAACTGAACATAAATTAGTGCTTAACATAAAAAAAAATGTTTATGTATTTAATCACCATTAACTAGTGCTTGGAAGCTGTTTATTTATGTTTTATAAATGTCTTCAGAGAAATGAATTTTGGCTTTAAGTTTCCTTTGTTCCTCTTCTTAGAAATAAGTTATATGAAAAAAAAGAAGAGAACGTATATCATGGGGACCATTGAATTTGTTTTATTGATAAGGAAATGTGGCAATTATCCAGACTGGTGCTGTGGATCAAAGTACTTTTTTTGCCTGTACCATATCCATTTGCATATCAATTAAAGTTACAATTGAAGTTGTTTCTTATTTTTTTTTTTAAAGTTATCTACCTATTTTGGAAAGTTAACTCAAGTTTTTTGTTTAAGGACTTGCAAAATTTTATGCAGATTCTTACACTCTTCTGTAAAGGTAAGTGTTTAAATTGCTGTTCCTTTTTCAGTTAGGAAGGGGACAATTGATTTTATTATCATATTGTTAGGGAAATGTAGCAATTTTCCAGACTGGTGCTGTGATCGTTTTTATTTTAAATTCTATCATGCTTTACATTTTATAAGAATCCTGTTAAAATGATTTGTTTTTTTTTTACTTTTACATATGCATTGTTGATCTGTAGAATAAATATCATGCTTGAAATCTATCTTATTCTTTATTTTATAGCAAAGTCTGTTAAGACCCCAGCAGTCATAAAAAAATTGAAAACAACACGTTTAATAATTTCATGTGTCCGAAGCGTTTTTCTGGATTTACCTTCGTTAGGAACGCTCAATGCCAAACATTTGAAATCCGAGGGATGTATAAGTACCGAAACAGTTGAAGAGCTATATTACAAAAATACCTAAAACAAATAGCCAAATTCATCTAAGGTCAACTTTGCCATAATCTGTCCCCAGAAATGGTAAAAATATCATTGTTCATCTCTTCTATCTTGTGTATCATTAGTCATGAAAAATTTGTTTCAATTTCACAATCGGTCAAGTTTCAGTGTTATGTAAAAAATTACAACAGGTGTCCCCTGTGGAGCAAGATCTGGAAACTCTTCTGTAGCACCTGGGATAATTCCTGGTTTTTTGTATGGCGTGTGTTGATATGTCTTTAGTTTTCTTTGTTGTGTTGTATAATGTTGTTTGTCTTTTGGTCGTTTTGGTTTTTGTTTTTAGCCATGGCATTGTCCGTTCGTTTTCAACTTATGAGTTTGGACATCCCTTTGGTATCTTTTGCCTCTCTTTCAATTTTTTTAAAATTGTGCTTAATTTTTTATAATTGAATAAGGTTGTATTATCGTTGATATTTTCTATAGAAATGTCAGTTGTGATGTCATAAACATGTCATAAGTGACATATTGAATCTAAAATGGGCATTTGACAGTATTTGGCAAAATTAAATATGGTTGCATCACCCAAAAAATATTTTAACCACATAACATCTTTGTAAAAGACATCAAGTTACAAAATAATTTTTATGCAAAGCTTTATATCTAAATATTAAAAACAAAAAGGAACACAAACTAAGACAAACAGCAGTAAACAAAACACAACATAGAAAACTAAAGATTGAGCAACACTAATACCACCAACAAAGATCTAAAAATGATGGGTTTTAGCATATTTGCATTAAATACACAACTTTGAAACCATGAAGCAAATATGTAAGACAAAATTAAAAAAAAAAAAGAAATACTGATGACTAATGTCTTGTGAACATCTGCAGGATGTTATTTGAACTACTTGATTTTTTTCAATTTGGAAAAAGGAAAAGGTGTAAAAGGTTTAGCTGTAATAAGGACCTTGTCATATTTTCTCATAATGTCAGCTTGGTACCAAATCCGGATATTGACAGGATATTTGCCAGTCAATTATCAAGAGTTATGATGTTGATCTTTCTAAGATATATTCCACATAATTAGTCCATTTATGTGGACATTGATATTATATTGTGATTATAGTTCATGTGTTATTTTCTCTCCTTTCTATCATTTCTTTTAAAGAAGCACAGTACAGTAATAACTTTGATGCATGCTTCACTGTATTCAAAATTAGAAATAGCATCATTTTGTTTTAGGTTCAATATGTGGTATACATCAAATAGGTATCAATCAAATGGCAAAAAAAAATCAGAAAAAAGAGGTGAAAAGATACCAAAGGGACATTCAAACTCATAAGTCAAAAATAAACTGACAACACCATGGCTAAAAAAGAAAAAAAGAACAACAGACAAACTAAAGTACACAAAACAACATAGAAAACTAAAGACTGATCAACACGAACCCCATTAAAAACTGTGGGTGATCTCAGGTGCTCTGGAAGGGTAAACAGATCCTGCTCCACATGTGGCACCCGTCTAGTTTCTAATGTTAGTACAAACCCGGTAATAATTATAATTCGGTAGGTCACAATCGGGGGAAAAAGGGGGGACTGGATTGTAGTTACGACAATTGGAACATATCCGCTGTCATTGTGAAACGGATATTCCATAACGGTCAACAAACTCGTGATGGCGTCCGTAAAATTTACGAAGGGATGATTTCAACTTCACCATTTGGAACTCTTGGTTTAATAGCTTCCTTGTTAGCAGCAACCCTCTATCAAGGAAATCATGATTGGAAATACAAGCCCTTGAATATCGTAGTAACTGGGAGATATATACTCCGTATGCTGGCGCTGCTGGAATGTTGTTACATAGAAATGGAAAGGTCACAATTGGGAAACTGAAATCATCTCTTTTGTCGTAAAGTTTTGTTTTCAACCAATCCTCATTGTCGGCATGAAAAGAAAGGCGAAAGATACCGGAGGGGCATTCAAACTCATAAATCGAAAATAAACTGACAACGCCATGGCTAAAAAAGAAAAAAACAAACAGACAAACAATAGTACACAAAACACAACATAGAAAAATAAAGACTAAGCAACACGAACCCCACCAAAAACTGGGGGTGATCTCAGGTGCTCCGGAAGGGTAAGCAGATCCTGCTCCACATGAAGAGGAGCACAGATAATTCCTATGGGAATGCCGATTGTTTATTGAAAAACACGTCCTCTAAACGTAACAAATATGTGGTCAATCAAGACATCAATCATCTTGATAATGTCAGTTTCAGTGAATTTTTTGTTTGAATCAGAGTGAATTTTTACAAAGTACGATTTATCTCTCCCTAAGACAAGATATTTTACTTCAAGACAAGAAACCTTACTTCAAGAATAATAGAAAAGTTGTGTTCTGTGTTGTGTTTTGTATACTGTTGTTTGTCGTTTAGTCTTTTGTTTTGCCACATCATTGTCAGTTTAGTATTTTCGACATGAGTTTGAATGTCCCTTTGGTATCTTTCACCTCTCTTTGAGAAACGATATAAATGTATAAAGCTATAACCGCCAGGTCTAAACAAATATTTGTTTCAAAGATCGGGCATCAACACAAAAAGGAAAGACAAAGATGAAAATAAAGACAACAATTAAGAATGTGTCTCATTTTGGACAAGCACTTACACACATGATGAGATTGAATTAAGGCGACAATAGTTTACCGATGTACAAATCACGTTAATCGATTAGCAAGAGACAAGTAAATGGGACAAACAAAACCTACTGAATCGCATGAACTCTAAAAGTAGCGAGAACGGATGTGTTGACAGGGTTAGCGTTTCCTGCTGTGCATGCATCACCCGCCATGCGAATTCACTCTTAAGTCAAAATGTCACGATTGGGTAAAGGACACAATCGGTAAAACTACGAATTAGACGACTTTACTGTTATCTAAAGAATTTAAGACGTCGAAAACACGAAGGTAGTGCGTTAAGACAACGACACATGGTATCGGTCAAGCAATTCGTGATGGTGACCGTAAAACTTATGTAATGTCAATTTCAGTCGTTCTTTCTAATAATTCTGTTGGAGCAGTTCATGTGTAAGAAACACACTTTTCTTAATGAAGTCCGTATAGTGTGAAAATGCACGAGCGTAATGCATTAACTGAGACATGTAATCGCAATACGATGGAGTAGAGGATATGTGACTGCTGAGAAATGAGAAGTTGGCCATTGAAAAGTTGAAATCGTCACGTTTGTCATACATTCTAGTTTGATGTCTATATGTGTCAAATATTGATCAGGCAAAGATCAAGATATGATGCAGCTTTCTACTTTCGGCAGTAACCTAAATCTCAAGTTCACTAGGACATTTGAGATATAAGCACTCCTTGGAATGTGGGTTATTGAGTGACAGAACATCATCAAAATATCTGAAATTGAAATTTATAAATTTTCCAAGATGCATTTTTGTCTTTTCTGTACGAATTCTGCTTCATATGACCTAAACAAACTAGTCGGCTTGTAGTGGTGCACAATTAGTACCCTTTGGAATACCGACGTCTGCTGAAATTTCAATCCACCGAACTCAAGAAATATGTTGTCGATCAAAAAGTCCGGCATTTTAAATATATCATCTTCGGTGTATTTGTATTTTGTTTTGGTGTGGTTCTTCACAAAGTAAGATTTTTAATGACCTAAAACCAGGAATTTGTATCTACGTTTCCCGTTTTTGTAGAAAAAGCTCTGTTTGATGTAGTCGATTCTTCAATTCAACATGGGAAATAGTAGTTTAAAGGGTAGAAAATGCCTGGGTTTTGATATTGTTGCAAAATTGTAAAGATTGTTGCAGATTTTGGAGTAGGCCTTAGAAATTTATAAGAATTCACATCCGATTGACACCGCTGGTTGAACATATCTCATCACAATATTTTTGTTGGCCTTCTTTTAAAAAATTTGGTGGTAAGAACTTTAGAATTTTTGACAACCCGGCTATATATTGTTTCTTATGAGGTTTTTTTGGAAGACTATAGGTATCCAGTATAAAGATAGGAGATTTTCATCATCCTTTTTTTATGTTAATACCAAAGGTTTGTATAAGTTTATGCTCAAACCTTCCTGGGTTAAAATCTCTTATCATTACCTATACAATGTAAAATACAGGTATAATAGAAATATAAACAACAGTACAAGTGTATTCAACAAATAGGACAAAAGAATGTCTGTAGTTACTGAAAGCAAACTAAAAATACTGATATGATAACAACCATACAACAATGCCATGAGCAGTTATACTATAAGTAGAGTTATCACAACAATGTCATGCCAGTGCTGTAAGACTCGATCATGTGCAACCCGCGACGTATTTTATATATAATTTCAATGCAGAAAAAAATTATAGTAACATTTGATATTCTGTAGAAGAGTATGTGCAGGTTTTGTTGAATTCTGGCATTAATAAATTGTTAGGCAGAAAATAACAGTTTACCATGGATATATTTCAAATGGAGCAATTTTCCCGTCCTGTTTACCTCAACTGTGACATAATCGAATGCAATTTAACTCCTAATTTGTCCTGAACATGAGCCACACGACAGCCGTCACATATGGAGCAGGATCTGCACATCCTCCGGAGCACATACAATTACACCTGGTGTTTGATGATGTTCGTGTTGCTAAGTCTTAATTTTTTTATGTACTGTTGTGTAGACTTATTTGTCTTGTCATCGTTTTTCGTCTTTTGCCACGATTTAATCGGTCTCTCTTCGACTAAATGAGTTTTGATTCTCCTTTTGGTATCTTCCGCCTTTTTGAGTGTTGTTTCGATCTATAACTG